AACAAGGCAGCCACAAGCAGTTCGCCACAATCCGTAGCACCTTATTCATGCAAGGAAGGCTGTATTACGACACCCGATGGCTGCAGTGTTTGCACCAAAGTTGTTTCGGTAGTCGATGAGGCATTTGCATGCAACCTATGTCAACGATGGGCGCATTGCCACTGCGACACCAAAGTCCCCCGACAATACTATAAGCTGATGAAGAGACAACCATGCAAGTGGTTCTGGTACATCTGTCCAGAGTGCAGGAAAATGCCCGCACTCCGCACAGAAAGCCTGAAGGAGATGCTCTCCGCCACGCAAAAGCTACCAGCATCCTCGAATAAAGTAGGGTTAACACCAAAGGATAACACAGAGAGACCTGGAAACAGACCTAGAGCTCCAGCTGCGGGCACGCCACCTCGCGTGGGGACCATATTAGGTCAAGTCTCCATACCTCCTACCCGGCCCCAGGGGACGTCAAGCGCATGGCCAAAGACATCGACCGCTGAAGCCTCTACGAAACCCATTCCAAACACCCCCACACCGTGACTGAGAAACAACCAGTGGAATTACTCAAACCCATTGGGAAGTCGGGCGTGCCACCCACAACGAACCCAGGTCACAGGAGGACCAACTCGATCATTTTGTTCAACGTCGATGTATCGACAGACTCATTGTTGGTCGAGAGGGAACGGTTTGACAGCCGAATGTGGACCGACTACTGTCAGATGCTGGGACTCCCTCCCCTCCCTGCAACTTTATGTCGCCTTTCTCGAGGAAGCCGTGCACCCCGAGATAAGCCACCCCCTTTACGTGTGTCCCTAAATACTACCAAAGAGGCTGAAGACACACTCCTCTCTCGCGACAACCGGACGTTGTTAATGCCTGTAAAATTCGGGCCAGGCCTGACAAGCCATGGTCAATAAGAGAGGAGGAGAGAAAGTCAGCGGTTGGAAATCCCAACAGAAACAACACTATAGTTGTACATGGGATTCCAGAATTGCCAAGTGACCGCTCGGTCAAAGATCGGTACTTTCACGACGTCCAACAATGGCAATGGCTCTCAACCAAAGTTGGTCTCAACAGTATACCGGCCAACAGCGTCAGTAGACTGCCAAGGCCAGCGCACCTGAAGACCATACCCAATCCCAGACTACTCGCCGTCCAGTTCGACTCATATGCCTCCCTCACAGACGTTCTACAGGCATGGTATAATGCGAAGGATCGCATGGGTGGCTCAATACGTATATGTGAAAGTAAGCCTAGACCCACAAGGCAAGAGGAGAGACGACAACCACCAAGACCTCTGGAGTCAGTGGTCGTCACACAGGCGCTGACCAGTGAGTTAGATACATCAAGTAAAGAAGCCACCACTGCCACAGCCCCCACCCAAGTTAATAACAAAACACAAAAAACGGAACAATGCCAGTCCTATGAGGACTGGCGAGGGTAGACCCAACCACATAAGCGCTCATCCTGCGAAAATACACAACCAGACCTCCCCCTCACCAGGCACACTCTAATATGTATGTACAGCAACGTTAGGGGGCTAAGAGGGAAGGTAGCAGAAATGAGGACGCTGCGTGCACATCAGCACTCCGACATCATATTCATCACCGAATCCTGGCTCTCGCCAGACATCTCCGACGAAGAGATGCATGTTACTGGCATGGAACTCTTCCGCAGGGACAGGGAACATAGAGCAGGAGGGGAGTGGCTATCTACGTAAACTCTTGTTTAAAGGCAAGGATGGTTAGCGATACGGCCTTAACCCAGCTCCCAGAGTCCCTATGGTGCTACTTCACTCTCCACAGTACCAAATACCTGCTCGGAGTCATATATCGGTCCCCCACCTGCTCCCCTACACATAAGGAAATGATCATCAAGGCTATCTTAACGACTTCCTCTGCAAATTACGATTCCGTAGTCATTGCCGGCGACTTCAACACCCCGTCCATCCTCTTCGAGACGGAAGGGAGACGCATCAGATCCTTCAATCAGAAGCTGAAGGATGCAATTAAGACTGCTGGCCTCTCAGAGAAAGTGGGTGATGCTACACGCTGGGGACCTAACGGAAACGCATCGCGCCTTGACTACGTTCTGACGAACGATGAACTTCTCATTGAGGATGTTTGCATCCAACCTCCCCTTGGCCTCAGTGACCACGCTGTAATCACCTTCTCCATGATAACTAGGGAGGCTCTGCAACTGGAGACGCCCAACACCTTCCCTTGCTACAGCAAGGCCAACTATGAGACCATGAGGGACTACCTCATGAATGCATCATGGCCAGTGGACTGGACTCATCTCACAATAGATGAACACTGGTTGGAGGTGAAGAAAATAATCACTGGGGCCATCAGTCACAGTGTACCAGAAGTAACACACAGACAATCAATGAGAACCTCATGGTTAAAGCGTGGGACAGAGAGGCTTATCCGGAGCAAGAAGCAGGCTTGGTTCAAGTGGCGTACATCACGCAGGGAGTCTGACTTCTTGAACTACAAAAGGATTCGCAATCTCTGTAACATTAGAGTGCGTAACGACAGATTTTCCTACCAAACAAACTTGGCAGCGAGGTTACAAAGCAACCCCAAAAACCTGTACCGCTTCATGTCAAGAAGAAAGTCGACCAGTAAGGGAGTGAATCTTGTCACAGGCCATGACGGGAGTGTGCTAAGCAGTCTAGAGATTGCCGAGCTTTTGAGCTCACACTTCCAAGCCCAACTCAGCACTGACACAAGATCCACACCGACTCGCCACGACACCGACCAGGTCGCAAATAACGAATACCTCTGTCACGTCTCTATTACAGAGAAAAAGGTGTTCGAGAAGCTATCTAGGCTACGTCCGGGCAAGTCCCCTGGCTGCGATAACCTGAAACCAGTGGTTCTGAAAAACTGCGCCGAGGTGCTTACCAAACCACTTCGCAACCTCTTTGAGCACTCAATAGACTCGTGCAAACTCCCTAAAGAATGGAAGAGTGCCATCTTGTCACCCATCTTCAAGGGAGGAGACAGAAAAAGCCCTGGCAGCTACAGGCCGATTGCCCTACTCCCTATTGTGTCGAAAGTGTTGGAAAGCCTGGTAGCTGACACCATCTGGGAATTCCTCAATAGGAAAAAACTGTCCACACTGCTCAGCACGGCTTTCGTAGTGGTCGCTCATGTGCCACCAACTTACTAACCGCCTGGGACGACTGGACACAAAGCTGGGATAATAGAAAACCTGTACATGTTGTATTTCTCGACCTAGCCAAAGCATTTGACAGTGTCCCACCCACAGTACTGCTTCACAAGATCATGTCAGCTGGTATAAGTGGACCCCTACTCTCTTGGTTCAAGGAGTACCTGGAAGGGAGGCAGTTCTGCACTAAAGTGAACAGAATAAGGTCGGAGTGGAGACCGTCGACGTCAGGAGTATCCCAAGGAGCAATCCTAGGACCGCTTCTGTTCCTCCTGTTTGTCAACGATCTGCCAGACAAAATATCCTCACCCATCCTCCTCTTCGCTGACGACATAAAAATTTGGAGGGTGGTAAACGAAGAAGCTGACTGTGCAGCACTACAAAAGGACTTGCAGCAACTCGAGCTCTGGTCGTCGGAAAATGGCCTGAGCTTCAACCTGGAAAAGTGCAAAGTAATGCACATCAGTAAAAATGAGGCAAGTACGACCGACTTCCAGTACATGTTGAGCAACCGTGCTATCACCAGAGTGTCCATGGAGAAAGATTTGGGGCTCAACTTCTCCGACACCTTGGACACCAGCTCCAACTACAAAGGTATGACAACCAGAGCGAACGCCATTCTACACTTTCTGCGTAGACAGCTTGGCGCCCTCACTCCCGAACTCTTCCTCACCATTTTCAAATCCTACGTGCGGCCGCACCTAGAGGTCTTCAATACGGTGGCTCCTCCAACACTCAAGAGAGACTCTAATCTCCTTGAAAGAATACAAAGAACTGCAACAAAATCAGTTGTGGGGCTAAGGGGAAAGACGTATCCTGAAAGACTTAAACACCTCAACCTATTTACCTTGGGTTATCGCAGGAAAAGGGGTGACCTCATTATGGCATACAAGATCGCCCATCAGGCAGACCATGCAAACAAATCAATTTTGCCTGCAACTCAACGATCTTCACGAGGAAACCCCATTAAGATAGCACACCAGAGAGCCAACACCACACTCAGGTCCAAATTTTTCTCCCAAGAGTGTGTGCTTTATGGAATGCCTTACCGCGACACATCGTTATAGCTCCTTCAGTCGACTCTTTCAAGAGGCGATTAGACAGTTATGTCACCTCGCATGGACTACCACGGACGTACTCAGGTAGTCACCAACCTCAGTACCCCCAACTCCCTCCTAACTACCACTCACTATCTCCCTCCTTAATACACCCACATTACCTACTAATTCTTCTGTAGGAACCAAACCCACGCGACCATTCGGGCAATTCCCAAATACTTTTCTTTCGTTCTCTTTCACCCCTCCTTTTCTTCTCCTTCCCTTTTCTCTTCCCTATATTATTATTATTTTTCTCCTTTTTTTATTCTCCCTCCATTCCTTTACCACTACCTCACTATTCTCTTTCAGGTACCTACACAGACAGGAGTCACGGTTGTTCTCTAAACCTTCCAGCAACCCGTAGCTCCCTAATCTCTCTACAAATTACAACCTACTAACCCAAAAACATCCACCTCACCTAAGCTAAAAGCAAGAAAGCAGAGGGGATTTCCTCGTCCACTGCAAGAGCGAACCGAACAACTGGAACCAAGCCCTAAGAACTAGACGCGAGAGATCAAAAACTACCAGTTTTCTACGCTCGCACCGTCAATATTGGATATTGACCATTCGTGTGTTTCTTATCTCTCTATCTGTGCGCAGATAAAGACCTAGTTTCTAGTGATCTGCTGGTTATTGACTCGGAAAACGGTTAAGCGAAAGCTTCTCCTACCACATCAACACCTATTTGTCGCTCGGTCCACTTGGATATTGAAAACTAATGCTTTACATGAATGACTCGATTGGTGACCTTGGGGAGTCCGCCTTTTAAGTGCAGATAGGTAGCACATCTTAAGTATGTATTTAGTGAGACTAACACAATATTTGTCTTTCGTGAGCCTTTCTCACTACTTGTCAAGCCCATAAAGTTTACAGCGTTTTTGCTTTGTTTGAGGTTGGGGTTGTTGGGAAGGCTTCCTAGTCAACATTTTGGCGGGGCAAAACTTGGGGACATGTTTCAGAGTGCACAGTTGTGCATTACTTCACAAGTAGGGAAATCAGAAATTACTCTCTGGTCAACATTTTCGCAGGGAAACACGGGGCAAACTGTGAAGGACAAAAAGTACAGCGCAAAACTGGGGGAATGCAGCACAATCCTGCATTTTACCCGTGTTTTCATGAGAATCTGAAACATGACCCTGAGTTTTGTCCCTCGAAAATGTTGACTGCCAGTGAGGTATATCTCGGCAGTACTCAAAATAATGCTTTTTTTCCTCAAACTAAAAATTATGCGCCATACGATTACCCTGTCATACAAACATATTAGGACTAGGTTGATCTTCAGTCAGCAGTTGGTCACATTAAGATTTGACAATAACTGCAGCGCAACCTGGAGAAAAGGAATTCAAATTTCGTCGGCCAAATACCGTATAGCTCACTTAATTCTGATTAGAGACCTGAGACAATGTATGGTTTTTGAATTCTACTGAGTGTTATATCATCTCGAGAGATGTGGTTATAAATATTCGTCACGACTCCATAAAATAATGCTTTCGGGTTTCTTTGTCTAGCTATCGTTTTCAAAAGAGTTCACTTAGTCGCAGCTGTTATTGCTGACACAACTCAATGTTAGTCTTATGTGGTGATTCGCATACTCTTGATTCGGTGTATCATCTCTTCAGTTGGCTCTATACTATTATGGCTGTTATTATTTTCCCCGTTTGTTTCTCCTCCGCTGATTTGTTTAGTTTATTTAGTGTTTCTTGTTCTGATCATTTCCTTAATCGCATTATCTCTTTCTGACCAGTCAAACTTTTGCCTATTGGTACTGCATTCAGAAATCTTGGTAGCACCATCACCCTAGAACAACATGAATTTCTTGCCTATTTTGACTAAATTTCAACCGCACACTGGCTGTTTCAGAACTGCAGCAGGTGAGTGGTTGGATGCATTGCATTGGATTCGAGATAAGGTATAAACCTCTTTACAGTGCCTATCGGTGGACATGAACATATAGTGTTTGATGATATCTGCTCTTAAAGCGAATGTTAAATATTCGGAATCGCGAAGTCGCTTATGCTGTTAGCTAGTCAGTTCCACTTTCAGCTCTGAAATGTTTTATAAAGTCCTATGTGATATGGATCTACACGCTTATGTTTTTAAGGATTAAACAGACCACCTGGCTAAGAAATCATAGCTCTCTACTCGAACTCCTGCTGCCATGTCAGGACTTATGGAGGGTTGTCAAGTGAAGTGATGACAACTAGTGGTGTCCGTCAAGAATGCCCACTGTCACTGTTCCTATTTAGATTACTTATAGACGTACTAATGGGCATAACCTTATGTGCGTCTAAGTTAACAGGGATTGATCTAATCCCTGAAGGTCATGTGGTTGACTTGGAGTATGCAAACGATATCTTGCTGGGTGAAGACGGTGACGTAGTACAGAGTCTTCTCTACGCATTGAACAGAAATCTAAGCATGTTTGGCACGCGTTTCGCACCCGTCAGATGTAAAATGATCCTCGATGGGTTGGTCTGCAACCATTGCCATTTTAATAGTCAGGAGTGAAGTGGTGAAATATGTCGAACAATTCACCTACTTGGGGAGTTACATGAGCGCAAACAAGTTTGTTGCTGACGATCTCTCAGCTTGGATACAGAACGCCCATGTAACATTTCCCAACTTGTATCACCTGTGGCGCCAATTGGCGAAATATCTGACTACCTATCAGAGGACAAGTATACTGCTCTACAGTCCGTTGTCTTGTACGGCTAAGACACGGCCGTTAAAAGCAGATATGAATCGGTTATAAGTGTTTGGTCCCAGATGTCTTCACAGCATTCCTCGTGTTTAGTGGAATCACTGTGAGGGTATCAGGTAAGACGGGCAAGTCGATTGATGAGATTGTAAACCCTCATCGGCTGGCCCGGCTTGGACAAGCACTGCGCACTCCGAGACACCGCCTACCTCGATGTGCGTGCCATGCTAATGTAAGTTGGGTTAGGTTGGAAAGGTTGCAGGGTAACTAGACCAGTACGTTGCACTGGTCGATAAAATACGTAACTGTAGATCTGAGCCGTGTTGGGAGATTTAGACTGCCTGGTTGTGGTCCTCGAGACGAAGGGAATCAGTAGTTGAGGGCCGTTGGTGACATGGCTGGGAATCGATCACAGCGGCGCAGTGTATTCACTCCTTAGGACCTTCTAAAGCCTGAATATTCACATCAACCTTTATCTCCAAACCGCTTGTTCTCTCATACAACCTTGATATCACCCTTCATCTATCCACCTATTCTTTTGTACTACTGTAAAGTGTGGCACCTAGAGGTGTTACACTTGTGCGCGAGGTTCTACGTTGATTTTGTCAGTCACAAGAAAAGTGGCTGTGAATCCACCTACAAACAGTTCGAGCAAACGACAAGTCTCTGCACTTAAACCTTGAGAAATGATTAACATCAATACCGATCACCCGCTAACTAGCATGGCTACACGGCATTAATCCACCTGCCTAAGTCATGAATTTCTCACTAGACGATGGCTCCCAGTGGATTGACTAGTAGTGATGCTGAGGTCGGAAATGTTTTGACTGATCAGTGTTTACAACCTTTTTCATCATCGACTACACTTGGAAATACCTAAAACTGTCCCACAGAAACAGCACGGCTGTCAACTGTTGATATGAGAGTCGATCGGTTGCATCGTAAGTTGAAAAAAGACACATCTCCATGTCCGGATAAAAACCACACTGTTGTTCTTCATGAAAGGCCTCATTTTTCACGGAACCCTTCGTAGATTATTCGAGGCTCCATTAAGCAGGCCATAGTTTCTGAAATTTGGAGGTTAATTCATGTGAAATCTAAGAATTCATTTGGCTTTTATTAGTTTAGAATATATATATATATATAGGTTTGATGAAGTTTGAGATACGGTTAGAGCGTCAAACTGTAGCACATCGTTATCTTTTGTTTGAGCTATCCAAGTCTTCAACTCGACATGGGATTCACATGGTATCAAAGTGATACGAGATACTTTATTCTCTTTGTCGTTAATTTTACTCACCATGCATCTGTCCTAAATCGTCTCTTTTATATTTATATGTATCTTGGGTGTATGATAACCTAACTGGTGCTAGTTCTATACTGTTAACACACGTCCAACTATCATATTTTCTTGAGACTTACTATTTTATATGTTGAATTCCATAAAACTATAGATACATTGGAGGAGCTGGTAACCGTTACATGTCGTGTGTGCTTAATAGAAAAAAGTTACATTATTACTTGGAAAATGTTGAATCATTTCAAAATCCCAAGCTTGAATTTGAACAGTACTGCACGTCAGCTCATGTTGCGGGTTAGTAAATGAATTACTGCAAAATGAAATTATCTCCTAAATAGCGGACATTTTGTTTAATATCCAGATGATAGATAATGCATTAGAAGATATGTCAGTTGCTGATCTTGGATGTGGTACCGGTATGTTGTCAATTGGTGCTAGACTACTTGGAGCTAGGTAGGTCTCTACCAAATTTAGTTCTCCAGCCACAGAAATTAGCTGTGTGCTGGGATTTGAAATCGACAAAGATGCTGTAAATGATTTTCAGTCAAACTTGGAAGCATACGAAATGGTGAATGACAATATAAGCATCGCTTTATGCGATGTAACACGCCTTTTCAAGCAAAACAAACGAAAAATCGTGGACACTGTTATATTAAATCCTCCTTTTGGCACAAACCCAGAAAATAATGGTATGAAATAAAAGTTATAAACAAATCTGTTATTTTCTTTTAGGCATTGATATGGCATTTCTTCAGGTTGCATTGTCCATCGCGCATTCGCATGTATATTCACTTCATAAAACTACCACACGTGATGTAAGTTTATCTTTTTTCAGTGGTAGTACTTGGATTTACAATGCTGGTAGGAGGTTGCAAAAACCATTGGATTGATAAAGATATAGCACTTGTAGCTGAAATAAATGACTAATGGTCTAAGCTGCGTGGTAGCAAAATATGGGCTTCCTGGCTCATGTGAAGTGACACCGCTCAAAACTAGTTGTGAAGGTACAAATGTATTCACTCTGTTTCATCATAAGTTTTTCTTCATTTCCATATCGCTCAGTCACTCATATCATTGGATTTTTGTTGCTGCTGCAAGGTGTTCCAAGTTCAGTTTAGGGACTTTATGTATAGTTGCACATTGCTGATTTCCAAATTGTTACGTTTCGATACCAACAGATTCTCACGAACGAATAAATTTACTCTAAATATTAACTATAGGTCGGTAAAAGTATATAACAGTTTGTGCACCTCCGTAAGTGGAACACAGGCTGTTCAGAATAAGCATTGAACCTTCTTTCTCCGTTTACTTGCTCTAGGACCCCTTAAAAGTGGATGAGAGTGATTCAGCTTACTACTCATCATGGTGAAATGAATAATACGCATCGCGTTAGCAGACTTTGGCAGATCATGCGACGAAGTGGCTTGAAAGAAATAGGATAGGATAAGACAGGTCAAGACAGGCGATCGTCATTATGTAGTTTCTTATTGTCTTCTGCTCATGAAAATCAAAACAAATGCAATGATAGCTTCGTACAAATCTTATCGAATCGACCGTCCTCTTTTATCATTTTATTCCATTTCGTTTTTGGCTTCACTTTGCCTTCATATTACTTTATGTAGAGTATTTCTTGGTGGCCATTTTGTGCCAAGTTCATTTCTTAACAAATAACACTAGAAATACTTTGACATGTGGGACAAATTTACCTGTCACAAATACTCAACGAGCTTTGTTAACTGAAACGGTTGTTCTTTGGAGTCCTAACACACCAAAAATGTCTAACAAATGATAGCAAGACTGTGAGCAGTTACCATTAGCGCAAATAAGTTATGTCCTGATGAAGGTTCAAAAGAAAAGTCATCCTGACTGTACAGTGTAACAGCAGTAAGGTGTCTCCGGCAAATAACCAGTATTCTAAGTTGATGTTGCCTGATGATGAGGTTCTACAAGTAGAAACAAATATACAAAACAAAATCGTGTGAATCGTCTGAAGTAGATATTTTTTAGGTTTTGTGATCATGTGAAACCATTTGATGTATTCTTTCAGGTACCGAAAAAAAGCATCTATTTTTACCATGTAAGCTCGTGAGAAGTGCTGTTTCACGCTTCCAAAGGCACACAAAACCCATCTTATCGTATCTTATTCTCATTATCTTCATCCATACATTTGTCTTCACCAACTTCTGTTGTTATCAATACTACATGCCTCACTGACTCCCCAATAGTTTAACTATCGATCCAATCCATTAAAATACTATTTTCAGTTCTTTGAAACCACACCGTTAGTTTTTCATTCGCACTGTGAACTTTCGGACCCTATACAGAATCAAAAAATAGGTCTTGCTTGCAAAAAATCTGGAGCCGTAGATCACAACTGTATACTATTTTTCTGCGTTATGCATTCTAGGCAAAGGTGTAGTTGTTTACTTGCTTAATCTGTGAAATCCACTTATGATTGGCTGGGTTTTCGATGGCTATTCCCGGTGGATTCGTTAGTATCCACATGAAACTAATTTCCAGAGAATAAACCTCACTCCTCGACTATAGTCTTTTATGCGCTGAAAGATCCGTGAGGACTAGAAGAGAGCATGAAACCCATCTCCAACTACATACGTACTGACTGCAATTCAGACGGTATAAAGTACAAGTCTTAACAAAGACTTTCATTTTTACTTCAAGAAGTAAAACGTCATGCTAGTGAATGACTTCACAGTTTAAGTGGGAAAGGCAAAATTTCAGAAACACATATGATGAGTACCTACAGAATTCTGCTTCAGTGAATTTACAACGTTGATTGTAATTTGAAATTATTTTGACGACCCCCTGTCTCTACCGAGCTAGCACTAGCTTGAAAAATACGAAGACAGCTGAAATCAGGCCACCGAAGAAAATATAATAGTGCTACTAGACATCATTAGAGGATTTCTACTCTTTTTAAGGTACCTACTTGAACTCCGATCATGCTTTAGTCCGGGAGTGTGTTTGTCGGTACCTAATGCACATAGGAGAAACAGCTACAAAGCTTCCTCATACTCATCAATTGTATATTTAGGCCAGAAACAACAAGGCAACTATCTTAACATGGTAAGAACCGTGATTGTGATAAGGCTTGGAATTAAGGTTCAGCCTCCAGTAGAAACGGTGAGTTTTTGCATCGTCATCCAAACTGATGGGTACCAGAATGTCCATTGCGAACGGCTGTGATCACGGTAAGGAGTAAAAGTACTTAAATGTAAACTGTCTAGAAGTCTTCGTAATTATTTTTTATTTTTTATTATTATTAGTCCCTTGGGTTCCTAGTGGAACATAGGGCTTCAGTAGCACGCCTCCAGTGACCTCTGTTCTCCGAGATCTTTTGAACCTGGTCCCACGACAGCCCAGAAGCTCTCATTTCCTCCTCGCACGACCTCCTCCATGTCACCCTCACCTCGGACGTCCAACTCGTCGCTTCCCATGGGGATTCCACTAGAGGGCCTGACGCGTGATGTCCTCAGTCGGCCTTCTCAGTGCATGGCCAATCCATCTCCACTTCTTCCTGCATATTTGTTGCGTGATAGGTTCTTGGTTGGTTCGTTCCCAGAGTTCCTTGTTGCTTATTCTTTCTGGCCATCTGATCTTCAGTAGCGAGCAGCGTAAGCAGTTGTTGATGAATGTCTGTAGTTTATTGGAAATGCCTTTCGTGACGCGCCAAGTCTCTGAACCATCACACAGAAGCACTGACTTGACGTTGGTGTTGAAAATCCGTATCTTGTTCCGCATGCTGTCCAGAAGTCTTCGTAATGATCACAAGTAATTGTTAGTGGCGATGAATAAGGTGTGCATTAACACTGGGTAAAGCTACAGTTATTGAAACTAAACAGATAGGATGGTATGGGAAAATAGGTTCCTTATAGTTCTTCAGGAAACATCTCGATTGCTTTCCACTCATAAGATATTTGGTCACTGTCCAGTTCAAACCAGGATAGACTGTAGATATTAGTCCATCAATCTGAAAATATATCAAGTGGTAGGACTTGAAAGTTCACTTTCAGTAGTTTTTAAGGATAAAGTTGTAGACAATAACTAGTCAGGAACAACCGAAGAATCACTTGATGTATAATAATTGAAGGTATAACCTCTTTAGACTAGTTTAGGCTCTTAGTTGTTCAAACTTATTAGAAAAGAGAGAAATCTTCGAATGTTTTTTACGGGAAAATTGGTTTGAAAGGTATGATCTTTGTGTCCCACAATCATATAATGCCTAACTAAAGCTTAAAAACAAACTAAACAGGTTTAATAAATAGATTAGGGCAAATTTATCAAATTTTCATACTTCGACAGGTTTGTGAACACAGAGGTGTTAGTGCTAAAACCCATTATGTTTCTTAGTCAGAAGGTGAAACTGCACACTGACGATAAGGAGTTGTAAAAGGGTAGAAATATGAAGAGTTTACGTACTTAAAAAGTATCTCCCACTAATCCAAGCTCTCTCCAACTTTAGGCAGTTTTATAAGGGTGTTTAAATCACAAAATCAAATGTAGAAGGTAAGTACAGTGGACAGCATGTTTTCATGTTGAAACACCTAACTCTATACTCTATTTTTTGTGTTTACATTTACACATGAAATAAAATACCAACCTCGTTTTACAAGGCATCATTATCACTATCAACATAAGATAAGGGATTACTGCGTAACGGTCCGAGTTACCATACCTCATATCACCACATCAACTAAAAAGGTAGTGAACTGCAAGATGAAGATAAGAAAATTCAGTGAAAAGAAGTATAAACTAATAAAGAGAGAAAGGAAGAATAAGAAAATGGTAAGGTTCGGTATAGCGTCGTCAAGATGAGGGAAATATGTTTGTGGGGATACATCTGTGCCAATAACATCGGTTCTCAGCCATGTGACCACCTAGAGTCAGTCAGTCTCCAACCACTGATTTCTCTTGTCCCGCACACCCTACCACCCAGCTTGCATCGCCCCACATGGCTAAAACCAACAGTCAAACATCTCACACATTGGTGCCATGTTTTAGTCTAGCCACCTCTGGCCCTTTTCCAGCCTGGACCTACTCCAACCAACATTGTGTGACCAGGCACACGGCGACTACGCATACCTAACTTAACACATGTCCCAACCAACCATCTCAGTCGATGAAGGTTCACAACCACATCAACTGACTTACCTCTTCTCCCTCTAAAACTCTACTCCTGACTTCCATGCTACTCACTCACGTGGTGACACCACGGAATACTACCTATACTACGAAGGCAATGGTAGTCAAACACCTGAAGTCTTCTCATGTCTTCTACCTTCCATGGCCATGTTTCACAGCCATACAGTAGGACAGACCGGACTGCTTTGCATGTGCAGTATGCGCGACCCTTAATAGACAAGGGGATATCACGGCGGCGCCATAGGTGTCGTAAGTTGGCAAAAGCCAACCAGTCGAGCCTTTTGTATTCGTGCAGAGATTTCATTGGCCACTGACCAGGGGCACCAGAGCTGATCCCACTTCACTTCTCAGGTAATTTAAGTAGTCGACACACTCAACCACTACACTACACTGTCTATTGTTAGCCACAGTGGGTCACCGTTGAAGACCAATCCTGGAGCAATAATTTGCATTTGGGTGGTGAGAAATGCATCCCAAACATTCTGAAATTGCCACTCGAAGTATTCAGAAGACTCTGCATCTTGTCAGCGTTTTCACGTAAGAGTACTATGTCATCTGCATATTCTAGGTCTAACGAAAATTCTCCTGCGAATAGGTCAACCTCTGCGTAGTCAGGTGGTGAGAGGGAGACCTCCATAAGAATATCTGTGATAAAATTGAATAAGAAAGGCGAGAGTGGGCACCCAGTCAATGAGGATACCCCCTGGACATCTCACCATTTCACCACAGTTCCACAAGCTGTGCACTTATCAATATTGAAACAGTTAGTCCCTTTTATGAATTTCAGTAGCGTAATTGGAAGACGAAATTTATCTGAACATCATCACTACTGATTTTTGAAAGTAATATGAATAGAAGTATCCACAAAAAGAGACACCTAGTGAGTCCTTTGACTGTTAGTATACGTCTGCTGTCTACAAAGTAGTTGGTTTCAGCACCGTCTCTACGATCAATACACAGAGAAACTGTATCACATATGCAGCCGTTTATACGCTTATAGAGAAAGTGGTTGTCTGAGTTGATGATAAGCCGTCCCATCAGTCAAGGATGAATAATTTCACTTTTCTCCTTTAGTTTTAACATAGATATATTGTTGGAGTTAATAGCACGTGAAAACAATCTTAGTGGTTCAAATTTATTATATTATCACTGAAAGTGTGAACAAGTTCACCAACTTTCATTTAATTATTATTCTGTCTTCTCATTTACATTGACTAATCTCTGTTTTTGCTCATGTGAAATGATACAGTTTTATGCAAGATTCTACACTGATTTGTTGGACAAACTTTAGTGTCTAGGGAGTGAGATAAATTTATTGTTTACTCTCACTTTTATCTATTATGAAAGATGATTGTGTGAAACGGTTTAAGCAGTTGAGAAGAAATATTGACATATTTCGTTAATAGTTGGCTTAGATTAGAAGAGGGCTGAGCGTGGTCAGACTAAGACATGGCATCAGTCCATGACTGTAGGTCTGAGCCGTGTTGAGACATGCAGACTACCCGACTGTGGTCTCAGAAAAGATAGAAATCAGCCACTGTGGAGCAGTGTATTCACTCTTTAGCGTCTTCTAAGGCTTGAGTATTTGTACTAATAATTATCCTCAGACTCTTCATTCTTTTACACAACTTTTCCTACTTTGATATCAGTCTTTCCTATCCACTTGTTCTTTATGTGCTGTTGTGAATTATGGCAACGTGAGGTGGTGATGCACTTGTGTTCGAGGTTCTGTATTAGTTGTGTGTGTTGGAAGGCCCCAGATTTGCTATAAAACAACTTAAATTATCATTATCGCGCGCCTATCAAAAGCTAATAATGAAGATAGAGGTAGCTAGGACTAATTTATATGACAATAAACGAGGAAACATGTTTTGCCGACTGTGTCCATCTAACAACTAGCCATTTTCTTTCACTATTGAATAAAACAAACTTCAACAATTTATGATGGTATATCGATATATATTTATTACTATTTATTGAGGTCGAACAATTCAACCCAACAAAACATCGGAGAATAACAAGTATGTCAATAAACAGTTATAACTATCACCCGTTGTACAAGAAGTGACTATCGTTCCTCTGTAGCATAGTGGATAACGCCTTGGCGTTTGAAGCGATGGGTACGAGGTCCGAGTCTCAGTGGGAACAACATCACTGGGGTGCAGGTACATCCGGCTGACGAGTCCCAAATGGGACGAAATGCGCGTCCTGGATTCTTCCGCTAGCCACAATCAACCAAATTATGATATATATATTTTTTGGTGTTGCTTACTTTATAGCATGTTCTACGTACAATAAAGAATACTGGAGCACAAGCTAAAGTACTTGCACAACTACGATTTGATTTACCTCGTTCCTATAAACGTCATCGTAAAGATACAATAGACATAGCCGTAGATTTGGTTCATTCATGGTTTTAAATAAATTAGTGTCAAAACAATTGTTTTTTTTGTATTATATAACTTTTTATATGATTACTGAAAAGTTGAATAGAGAAGAAAAAAGAAAATGTACAATTTGCTAAAAGTTTATTCGTTTATCGCTGGTATACACAATTTAGTATAACATAAATTATACTTTTTTTATTATTTGTTATCGTACCGATGACCAAGAACACCAACGATATCTTGGCATGTCATCAGGAAGTCCATTATGACGTTTAGGTTCAGATGATGGTGGCCTTTTAACTACTTTCTTTTGTAACGCTTCAAATAAAGCTTGTTTCTTACGTCGTGTATATTCTGGTTCACCTGGATACGAACATTTTAATATAAATTGTTTTGGTGAACTGTTGTGTGAAACAAAATCAATAGGTGGACCGATAGGTCGTATTTTTCTTCCAAATCTACCTGTTTTACGTTGCCATAATCCACTACGTTGTTTAATTCCTCTCCACTTTTTCTCACCAAAAGTACGATATCTTCATTAAAGAAAAAAAACAAGAATGATTTATGTTAAGTGGAATAGTAGTTAAATTTGTGTGACATCATCAATGATGATGTCACCAGTGAAGAGAAACAATCTAACTGGACAGAAATCGTCCGGTACTTCAAAGTATAGTATCATATGTTTTACTGGCAAGTGCCATAAGTGACCAGTTGCAGTTCAAAACTGCTGATAAATGTATCTCTGGTAGCAGTGTTGTGCAGAGAGGGTCTCAATCGCCGAAAATATAACAGGCTTATCAGTGATGACAATGACTTTACATCCTGAAACGGCACGTAGAGTTTCGTATAGCATATTATAAGCCAAAAACTTAGTTGGATAGACAGGATGATTATATAATGAGTGCTGAGATTAAATAAAATAAAAAATGATTTCAAGTTTGTGTCTGTATACAATCGGAAGTGAATTGATGAAAGCTATGAATATGTCGTCTAAGAACCGCTAAGTTAACCTATCCTAGAGCTAAGTAAATACAGGAGTAAGACAAGACAGGGTTGCCACCTACTATCACTGATCATCTTCCTGACTGTGGTCGACTCAACTGGACAGGATCGTGCAACGAAGTGTGAGGAGCGAGAAGAGGGGCACTCGCTGGCTGGACCGATGAAAAGACCCTGGGAGAAGATTTCGCCGACCATGATTCAAGTCGCACAAACTCGAAGATCTACAGACGAAAACTAACAAGTTGACAGAAGAGACAGGGCAGCGAAGAAAGACGGGACTTCGTTCAGGGGAACGTAGAGAAGATAGAGGTGATGAAGATAACCAACCGACAAGCAATAATCATCATCAACAACAGAAATCTAAAGGAAGTCGTCTCTTCCACCCATCTACCTACTTAGGCAGCATCCTCTCAGCTACAGGCGGCACAGGCACACATGACGATCTCAAAGACAGCAAGACACGACAGGCCTTCCTTCATCAGTCTGAAATCAGTGTGGAGATCTACTGCACTCAGCATAAAGCGTGAACAACATCTGGATTTTCAACACTAATATCAGTGCTTCTATGTGATGGTTGAGAGATTTGGCGCGTGACGAAAAGCATCTCCAACAAACAACAGGCATACATCAACAGTTGCCGTCTACGCTCACTTGATACTGAAGATAGAGGTCAGATGTATGGCCAGCATAATAAGAATAAGCAACAAGGAACTCTGGCTGGCTAGCAACGAAACAATCAAGAACCTATCGCCCAACAAATATCCAGGCGAAAGTAGAGATAGATTGGATTGGACATACACTGAGAAGACGGTTTGCGGACATCATGCGTCAGACCAGGCCATCGAATAGAACCAAAATAAGAAACAATGAGTTGGGTATGAGAGAGTGACATGGAGGAGATGGTGTGGGGAAGAACTGAATGGTTATGAGGAGTCGTGGAGCCAGGTTAAAAAAAGACTGCAGAGAGTAGAGTGAACTGGCGATGTGCTACTGACGCCCTATGTTCCACTAGGAATCCAAAGGACAAATACTCAATAATAATTAATCCAAATAGGCAAGATAATTTGGTTAACCAAATCTCTTTCAAGGATTCCGATGTTAAGTACATAAGTTAAAGTAGTCAACTAGGCTATCCAAGCACAAAGACCCAGTTACATAAAAACTCGTAGATCCTAGTAAGGTTAGGAATTTAGAAAAAAGCTCACCCATAGCTATGCATCTAATTGCACACATTAGGATGGGACAGGGTGAACATCCTGAAAACTAACGTAGCGGAGGTGGGTGGAGAGATTGATAACCGAATCTTTGTTCATTGAATCAACACCCGATACGTGCAGCAACAGGAATAATTCAGCATCTGTTCCGGATATATGAAAAATTTGACTCATATCAAAAAGGTGAGAAAATTCTATGAAGCACATCTCAAAGTTGTGTAGTTATGTTGATATGACTATGGACAATAAACGTAATTTAGTAAACAAAACTGTCCCACTGCTGTGGTAAAAACTAAAATGGAGTTACATTCTACTATATTACCGAGGTTTTACTCCAATTCTAATGTAAGCTACCTTTACAGAGGATTATTTTCTAATGATGAGTATATTTTCATGTGGAATGCTTTTGCTCATGATAAGTTTATTGACAAAGTTTTTCCTCTAAACAAAGAGAAGTTTGGCAATTTTGTATCTGTTGGGAATGTTTCAGCGAAAATCTAGGCGATTGTCGATAGAACTTTTAATCTTTGTGAAGAATAAACCTCCATATCAATTATACTGACTTTGGATAGGGTTGGAACTCACCTAAACTGATCATGTTGATGATTGGAAACTTGTCCAACTACACACATACATGATGGTAAAAGTCGAAAAACTTTACGTTTACCATTCATCCTAACAAATACAACATCTTCATCTTCTAATTTATTAGCATTAGTTGGACAATTCAATTCTTCAGTAGACTTTAAACCAACACATTTTCCACGTCGAAATACTGTTGCACTAGATCCAGCTGTTCTACAGTATAAACCACCTTGACCAGGTCGTATTTCAAATTGACTAATGATTGTACCAACCGGTAATGCACCCACAGGATGAGCATCACCTTCTTTTGGTTCAACTGTAAAATGGAAAAATTAACAATTTATCAAATATGTGAAAGATGATCGCTAGATGATAGAAAAGGTATCGTTCAATTCATTCAACGATAATAAAGTAACCAAAGAATATCTGACGATAACTTTAGAATTCATAAAATGTTCATCTTTTTTGGAATGAATGATGTCTAGCTGGCCTGAAATTGTGAATGATATCCAATAGTTGAGAAAAACCAACAGAAAGTTATATCATCACCTCATCTTCGTGATAACTAGTAGTCATCTATAGAATGTGCTTGCCTTCTTAAGATGATATTCTAACTCGGCAACAGCAAGAGGCGTTATTAGTGATCGTTTCAAGTTGCTTTTCAAAGAATGAATGTAGGAAAATAGAATATACGGAAATTACAACGAAAACTTTTATCGAAATGACCATTATTATTTAGTTAAAGCTGTAGGAAGGGTACTGGGCAAGTTGATTGATGAGATTGTCAAATTGAGTAAACAGACACAACCTAGGCATGTGCGGCGCACGCCGACTCACCGCCTACCACATGCCATGTTAAGGGAAGTTAGATTGGAAAACGAGTCAGGGTGGCCAGACCAAGATGTGAAACCAGTTCATAAAGTCTCCGACTGGTTTCAGCTGTGTAGGATGATGTAGACTACCTAACTGAGGTCTCTAAGACGACAAAAATCAGTGACCACCTACACTCACTCGATACTGAAGATGGATGACCAGAATAATAAAAATAAGCAACAAGGAACTCTGGCTGGCTAGCAACGAAACAATCAAGAACCTATCGCCCAACAAATATCCAGGCGAAAGTGGAGATCGATTGGATTGGACATACACTGAGAAGACCGTTTGGGGGACATCACGCGTCAGACCAGGCCGTCGAGTGGAACCGAAATAAGAAACAATGAGTTGGGTATGAGAGGGTGACATGGAGGAGATGGTGTGGGGAAGAAACGAATGGTTATGGGGAGTCGTGGAGCCAGGTTAAAAAAAGACTGCAGAGAGTAGAGTGAACTGGCGATGTGCTACTGACGCCCACTAGGAACCCAAGGGACAAATAATAATCATGAAACTATCTCAGATATTCAAATGATAATCAATATGATGCTCCCCCTCTCTGATTCAGTTAGATTTGGATTCGGATGAGAAGTCCTGACTAGGCAGTCAATATGAATACGGTCAAGCGATAGTAACGCGTCACGAATTCACATGGCTATTGAAGTGAAATAAAAATCTGGTCAGCAGTGGGACATCAAAGCTCATTTGGTAAAGCGTTTGATCGGAAACCCAGTGGCTCCTGGTTCGAATCCGGCCGCGGTCTCCAAATTTTCATGTCACCTTCAACCATCGATCAGTGCAAATGTTTTTAATTATTCTTGGGTATTTCTCTCGGAAATCCACTTAAAAACCTTATGATTACGTCGTACATTCTGCAGCAGTACATCGAAAGTTAACAGACTTCATACTCAGATACAATTTAAAAACCGAATTAGTCAAACTTTCGATGATGTTTTGGCATCACAGAATTTCCAACATTCTAAATCCACTGCTCTTGACTGCTGAGAGCAGTTCAGTAGTTCAAAATCTAGTTTAAAATCATCTACTGAAGGAGAGCATATAACACAAGTCACTCACTAACAGTAATGACATCATCTTAAATCGTCCTGATAAAGGTGTTGTTTTAATGAGTTGTCAAGAATACGTCAATAAAATGCTGTCGATTTTCTCAAATCAAGCTAAATTTGAAAAACTTGCAGGTGAGTCGAACAGAACACAACAGATTGAGATCCAACTCACAGGTATCTTGAAGAAAATAAAGGGTAATACATTGATTTCCTCCAGTTTGTATGAACGAATCCAACCCATTATTCGGTAATTCCACGTTTCTATGGATTGACGAAATTACATAAAGCAAGATTACCTCTTCGACCAATTTTGGATACGTCAGGTTCTGCTTAGCATTACACTACCTAGTGGTTAGCTGAAATACTGGGACCAGTCAGAAGGTGAGTATCATTGTTCTATTCGTGATACATTTGACTTTATTGATAGCATTAAAGATGTTGACGCGAACGGTAAAGTTGTGTTTTCCTTAGATGTTACCTCATTGTTTACCAGTGTACTACTCAGTGAAACTGTTTGTTTCATATATGATTTCATCGATTCACATAATATAGAAGTAGGAATTCCAACAAACTACTTGAGATAGCTATTGAAGAGATGTATTTTTATTGTGCAATTTAGATTCGATGATGAAATATACCGGCAGAATGATGGGACTGCAATGAGGTCCCCAGGGGAACCTCTAGTGATGGATTGCTTTATTATCTTTTGACTATCTATGATAGCTGTGGTTTGGCAGACTACTATTTATACTGAGTGATGACTGAACGTCAAATAGAAATCTGGACCGCAGCCGGATTCCAACCAGAGACCACTGGGTTTCCGATCAAATGCTTTACCAACTAAGCTACGAGGTCCATTCTATTCCTAACCAAACTATTAGTCACTTTGATATCTATAAACGATATATGGATGATGTATTAGTGACTCAAATATCGATCTGGATGATATCCTACGCGAGTTTAACACTTTTCACTCAGCGTTGAAATTCACTATTGAGAGGGAAATGGAATCAGCTATTCCTTTCTTTGACGTGGTAACTACAAGATGTAGCAATGGAATGCTAAGAAGATTCACATGCAGGAAACCCAATTGGAATAGACAGCTTGCTAATTTCTACAGTTGGGTGCCGATTATGTGGAAAAGAAACCTCATACAACACTTATTCTGCTATCGAATACACAGTATTTGTAGCATAGACCATGTGCAAGTTGAACTTGACTCTCTAAGAGAGACGCTTACGGAAAACGGCCATCCTAGTCGATTTGTTGATAGGAATATGCGAGAAACACATGCAAAATAGGCTATCAACTCAGTTTCTAAAGAGTCTTTGTTTATGAATCTGGAATTTAAAGGTAATGGAGTATCAGGCATCCTGAAAAATCGTCTTTCTAGACTAATTAGTAGGACTTTTTTCTCAGCCAAACTTCATTTGATCTTTACCTTTCGTAAATTGTTCTGTTTTTATAAAAGACATTATCCCTCAACAGGCCACATCCATATGTATCTACCAGTTCACCTGCTCCTGTGGAGCGAGATATATCGACCTTTACTGGTATATGGGCTCCCATGCGGATGCCTCGATATTGCTTCATCGTTAAGTACGGTAATTTACTTGGTTGCGGCTAGCAGAAGAATCCACGATGCGCACTTCGTCCCATTTGGGACTAGTCAGATCGATGTACCTGCACCCCAGTGCCGAGTGTTGTTCCCACTGGGACTCGGACCTCGTATCCATCGATTCAAACACCAAGGCGTTATCCACTAGGGCATGGAGGCACAAGAGCCACCTCTTGTAAAATGGATACTAGTTATTACTATTTATCTATATACTTGTAATTCTCCGTAGTTTTATTGGATCGAATTGTTCGACCTCTATTGGTATATGGGCTCCTATGCGGATGCCTCGACATTGCCTGAATATTAATTATGGATTCTTCTGCTAGCCACAACCAAGTAAATTACCATAATTTGGAATAATATACCAACAAAGAGATATCAATAATGATAGAACAACATTTCAACGTATTGAGAGAGTTGTATTCTATCAATACACATTCTTATCAATATCAACATAGGACCAGACATTACTGCGTTACGGTACAAGTTGCTACACCTCATATCAGTACATCAAACAATAAGATGAAGAGATAAAGAAGAATTGGTTAAAAGCAGTAAAAGAGAGAAAAGATGAAGAAGGTCCATAACCACATCAACTGGCTTTTGCATTACTGACATGGTGATACCACGAGACACAGGGTATGCTAAGAGGGTAATGGTAGCCAAACACCTGAAGCCTGCTCTTGTCTTCTAACCTTAATAATCATGTTTCGCAGTGATACAGTGGAACAGAGCGAACTGCTGTGCAGTACACCTAACATTTGTTAGACAACCAGATATCGCAGCGGTGCCACAGATGGTGTAAGCTGGCGAAAGTCAATAGAGCCATTTTTATCTGTGCAGAGATTTCCTCGGTCATTGACCCACCAAGGCTGATCTGAATTCCTAGATAAGTGAAGTGTTCAATGCACTCAACCACTTTACTCCCTACGTTAACCAGTGTACCCGCGAAGATCAATCCTGGAGCAAAAATTTGCATTTGAATGGAAGAAAACGAATTCCAAACATTCTCCAATTGCCACTCAAGGTGTCCAGATGAGTCTACATATTGACAGGGTCTTCACCTATATGTGTATTCTAATTTTACCAAGGATTCTCCCATGATTAGATCGGATGACGAGGAGACCTCCTTAAGAACCTGTGGAATAAAAATGAACAGGAATGGAGAAAGTGGAAATCATTGACGGGGATGACTCGATGTACACAGCTCACCTGACAACTCACTATAGGTTCTAACATGCCCATAGGTGTCCAGTCAGAACATAACTATTCTGTCTCTAATCCCCTTCAGCTGTTACTGACTCTACAATGGTAATATTAGACGAATCGGTTATCAGCGGTGTAGATGATGTAACCGTCCATCCCTTTATCATGTTAACTAACTTGTAAGATCTAACACTAAAATGGCAAGTTTATTAAAAAAGGAAAACCAAAACGTTGTTAAATGGTGATTTGATAGGAATAAGAGGCAAGGTATACATCAATATTATATATAAGAAAATAGTGGAACGAATTGCCTCTACCTTTACCTTAATACAAGGACAACTGCTGACTGATACTTGTAATTTATCATGGCTAATACAGGATTGAATTGCTCGATATCTATTATCAGATGGGAGCTTCCATGGGACAGCCTCCATACTACCTGGATATTCAACGTATTATGGTTTACTTGATGGCTAATAATTGAATTCAGGACATATGTTTCATGCTGTTTAGGATTTACTCGTCACCTAGATGTACTTGCTGATGAGCAACAAACGAGACGAAACGTGCCTCCTGAACTCCTCTGCTAGTCATCTAGTAGACCACAATACAAGATGATATAGAGATAGACAGAAAAGACTAGCCTGGAGAGAGGGCAATCAAAATGTATTTCACGTCTGGAGTCAGCCAGACAGACGCTGGATCAGCGATCCATCCAAATCAAAATAGAACCAAGCATTACTGAGTCACGGTCCGAGTTACCACTGCAAGCTCACATATACACTGTGTTACTGCTTTCGAAAGCGCATTCTTGAATAGACAATAAAAACCATCATATATAGGGCTAGCAACCCTACCCCGTAAGACCAATCTAATCGCTAAATAAGCTTCAAAGCACAAGTAAATTATAAAAAATAAAAACAAACTCATTCCTCACTGGAATCAGAGAGACGAAATAACGCCGGTTGGTGAAATCCTTCGGGGAGCCAATTGGCCGATGTGTCTTCTCTCCCTCGATGAAAGCGAAAGTAAACATGAGGACATAGAATGTCCGCACCATGTATGAACCTACTAAGGCTGCTCAGGTTGCCAAAGGGATGAGAAGGTATAGCATAGAAGTCCTAGGAATCTGTGAAAACGGGTGGAATAGAAGTGGACTCTACAAAATGTCAACTGGAGAGTCAATAATCTACTCCGGTCACCGAGACGACAACCATGAGCACACCGAGGGAGTGGCTATCATGATGTCTCCAAGAGCACCGAAGGTTCTCATGCAGTGGGAACCAATCTCCTCCAGGATCATGACAGCAAGATTCAACTCAAAAGGAAAGAAAGTCACAGTCATTCAATGACACGTGCCTACAAATAATGCAGATGAAGCGAAGAAGGAGGAATTCTACAGACAATTGCAATCAGTACTAGACAAGACTCCAGTTGGCGACATCAAAATTCCAATGGGTATGGTGACATGTATGCCGAATTGGGAGCAGACAACACAGGAAGAGAACTCACCATGTGTCGAGAAGCACTCGATGAAATGAATGAGAATGGAAAACTGTTTGCAGATTTCTGCGCATCCAACGATTTGGTAATTGGAGGCGAGGTAGTGTGTACAAACACAAGGATATCCACAAGGCAGCGACATGGATTTCACCAGACACCAGGACACACTACAAATCAGGTCGACTTCATCTCAATGTGAAGAAAGTGGAGACGCAGCCTACTGGACACAAGATCAGATCAAGAGGGGGAGCAGATGTAGGTTCACACCACTTACTATCTAGTGCAAGGAACCTTCCAAATCAAGTTGAAAGCCTTCAAAGAAGTTGGTAATAGACCACAGTTCAGGTTGAACACCAAGAACAGAAACTGAAGCACGAAACTACAGAGGACATCTTTACGTCAGTCGTTAGGACAAAATACGAGATATTGAGCAAAATCCCTGAAGAAACCTGTATGGAAGAACACTAGAACTCTTTGAAAGATATATGGAAAGAAATCTGCATAACCGTATTAGGAAGGAAGAGGAAACAAGACAAGAAGTGGATCTCGACGGACACATGGAAGCTAATAGAGTACGGAGAGGAAGATGGTGAAACAGGAGATGAACCAGTGCAGTTCAGGGATGAATAGCGACAAGAAGAACTGAGTACAACCTATGAAACACTACACTGGACAAAGAAGTGAAGAGTACGCGGAAAGACAAAAGACACTTCTACGACACATTGGCAAGTGAAGCAGAACAGGCTTCAGGAAGAAGAGAACTGACAACATTATATCAGGTAACCAGGTTACTATCTGGGAAGAGATCAACACAGATGAAACCAATGAAAGATAGTGAAGGAAACCTAGTTGCCAACGGGGAGAAACAAAGGAAACAATGGGTTGACCACTTCAAAAAACTCTTGAATCGACCACCACCACCACATGCAACTCGTCCAGAAATACCACCAGCAACGGCAGAACTACCATTGAACACATGCCCTCCAACAAAAGCAGAATTCCTGAGTGCCATAAAGTTGTTGAAATCCGGGAAAGCAGCAGGAACAGATGGAACTCCACCAGAAGCACTGGAAACAGATGCAGAGACAACAGCGAAAATGCTCACACCACTACTGCAGAAGCTTTGGAAGGAAGGAAGAGAAGAAAGGTACTTGTCGGGTGGAAGAAGGGCGACCTAAGCCTTTGCAAGAACTGGCGAGGAACCAAGCTGCTGTGCATACGAAGCAAAATATTATGCTGCATCATCCTTAGGAGACTAGAGGGTGCTCTGAATTCGAAATTACGACCGGAACAGGCTGGCTGATTTCAGGAAGAATAAATCATGTGCGAATCGAATTGCAACACTACGCATCATCATTGAACAGAGTGCAGAATGGCAGTCAACTCAACTTCATCGACTTTGAAAAGGTCTTCGACAGCGTCGACCGAGAAGTAATTTGGCAGTTGCTTCAACACTACGGTTTTAGTGCCACAAATCTTTATCGACCTCATTCCACAACAGCTATATAAAAACGCCGCATGCCAAGTGATCGACAATGGAAAGCTCAGTGACGTGAAGATAGGAGTAAAACAAGGCTGCCGCCCACTATTACCCATGATATTCCTGATTGTGATCGACAGGACTGGATCATGCGACAAACAGTGAGGAGTGACATGATGGGCATTCGCTGGCTGGACCGATGAAAAGACCCTGGAGGAAGATTTGGATTTCGCCAATGATGATTTATATCTAATGTCTTGTGGCACAAACTCGAAGATCTACAGGCGAAAACTAACAAGTTGACGGAAGAAGCAGAGAAGACGGGACTTCAAGTGAATGTAGACAAGACGGAGGTTATGAAGATACCCAACCAACAACAGCATCAACAACAAGCACCAATCACCATCAACAGGAGGAACATAAAGGAAGTGGTCTCTCTCACCTACCACCTCAGCAGCATAATTTCAACTACAGGCGGCACAGGCACAGACGAGGATGTCAAAACCAGGATCGGAAAGCCAGCAAGACAAATGTTCATTATTCTGAAATCAGTGTGGAGATCTACTGCACTCCACTCAGCAGAAAGCGTGAACAACATCCCGATTTTCAACACCAATCCAGTCAAGTCATTGCTGCTATATGGTTCAGAAACTCGGTGCGTCATCAAAAGCATTTCCAACAAATTACAGACATTCATCAACAGCTGCCGCCCACGCTCACTCGATACTGAAGATCAGAAGGCCAGAATAATAAGAATAAGCAACAAGGAACTCTGGCTGGCTGGTAACGAACCAACAAAGAACCTATCACCCAACAAATATGCATACACTGAGAAGGCCGACTGGGGAAATCACGCGCCACACAAGGCCATCGAGTGGAACCGGAAGGGGAAACGACGAGTTGGGTGTGAGAGGGTGACATGGAGATGGTGTGAGGAAGAAATGAAAGCTTCTGGGCAATCGTGGAGCGAGGTTCAAAACACTGCAGAGAACAGAATTCAACGGAGGCGTGCTACTGAAGCCCTATGTTCTACTAAAAACCCAGGAGAAAAAATAATATATATATATATATATATATATATATATATATATATATACTACTACTACTACTACTACTACTACTACTACTACTACTACTACTACTACTACTACTACTACTACTACTTCAAACTAACCTGGTATAGATGGAATATCCGCATATGAACGAATAATATCACCCGGTTTCATACTAGTAGTTGCAAGGATCCACCGTTTCACTTCACCTGAAGCCACTAATGCAATGAATGCATGTCGCCACCATGTTTGCTTAATCTTTTTCGAAAAAAAGCACATACATGGTTAACACAAAATGTTTCATTACAATAAGCGATTCATAAACTGATAGTTCTTATAAGTAGTATAATTTTATATTTGATAAGTTTATTTCATATAGTACAGTGATATAAAATTACTTCTCGATCTATTCATCCAAATGAGAATACCACCAGGCATTATACTGCGTTACAGTCCGAGTCACCACACCTCATATCACCACATCAAGTAAAAACGCAGTGAACTACAAGATGAAGAAAACACAATCCAGTCAAAAGAGATAAAAAGTACTAGAAGGGAGAAAGGAAGAATAAGAAAATGGTAAGGTTCGGTATAGCGTCGTCAAGATGAGGATAATCTGTGTGGGGATACATCTGTACCACTAACATCGGTTCTCAGCCATGTGACCACCTAGAGTCAGTCAGTCTCCAACCACTGATTCTTCTTGTCCCGCACACCCTACCACCCAGCTTGCATCGCCCCACATGGCTAAAACCAACAGTCAAACATCTCATACATTGGTGCCATGTTTCAGTCTAGCCACCTCTGGCCCTTTTCCAGCCTGGACCTACTCCAACCAACATTGTGTGACCAGGCACACGGCGACTACGCATACCTAACCTAACACATGTCCCAACCAACCATCTCAGTCGATGAAGGTTCACAACCACATCAACTGACTTACCTCTTCTCCCTAAAAACTCTACACCTGACTTCCATGCTACTCACTCACGTGGTGACACCACGCAATACTGCATATACTATGAAGGCAATGGTGGTCAAACACCTGAAGTCTTCTCATGTCTTCCACCTTCATGGCCATGTTTCACAGCCATATAGTAGGACAGACCGGACTGCTTTGCATGTGCAGTATGCGCGACCCTTAATAGACAATGGGATATCACGGCGGCGCCATAGGTGTCGTAAGTTGGCAAAAGCCAGCCAGTCGAGCCTTTTGTATTCGTGCAGAGATTTCATTGGCCACTGACCAGGGCACCAGAGCTGATCCCACTTCACTTCTCAGGTAATTTAAGTGGTCGACACACTCAACCACTACACTACACTGTCTATTGTTAGCCACAGTGGGTCACCGTTGAAGACCAATCCTGGAGCAATAATTTGCATTTGGGTGGTGAGAAATGCATCCCAAACATTCTGAAATAACCACTCGAAGTGTTCGGAAGACTTTGCATCTTGTCAGCGTTTTCACGTAAGAGTACTATGTCATCTGCATATTCTAGGTCTAAGGAAAGTTCTCCCACGATCACATCAACTTTCCTGCGATTAGGTCAACGTTTATGCAGCCAGGTGGTGAGAGGGAGACATCCATAAGAATATGTGTGATAAAATTGAATAAGAATGGAGACGGTGGGCACCCTTGACGGACACCACTCAATTAGCACAGTTCCCCGGACATCTCACCATAGGCTCTAACACGTCCATTGACGCTCGAGTAGGGAGCTTTCAATAAGGTGATGTTTTTACGCGGCACGTCTTTGAGTGAGGGACATTGCCATAAGACTTCTCGATCACCAGAGTCGAATGCCGCCGCTTTCAGGTCGAGAAATACAGCCAGTGTCAGGCGTCGGTACGCGTTCTTATTTTCCAGGACCTGGCGCAGTGTGAACATCTGGTCGTTACAGCCACGGACAGGTCCAAAGCCTGCCTGGTTTTCTCGGACTTGTTGTTCCTGAGCTCCACTCAGACGTCGGAGAATTATGGAACCCAGGATCTTAGATACTATGTTCGTTGTATACACACTGCTTGATTATATTATGGATGCTAAATTTAGGTAAGTGAGCTTCCGGCAATTTTGTACTAGCAGCAAGGCAGTTTGTGAAAGAATAGGTGTTGTATCCAGTCTCTGCATCACTGCTTCTGCAATTAGTCCGGATATCGGTGATCCCATTGGAGTTCCTTTCATCTGTTTGTATATCTAGCCGTTGAATTGGAAGTATATAGTCAGACAAAGGTCGATGAGTTCCATCAGACTTGTCTTCATTGAGCAGAAGGGACATAGTTCCCTTGGTGAATTGGGGTTCGATGGATGTGTACAGTGCTGTGACATCGAAGGATATGATTAATTCGTCGTTTTCTATGTCAATGTTTTTGTTCTTTTCTAAGAATTCCATTGGTGGTTTGATGGAATGTCCGCATGATTAAATGAGATGTTTCAGTTTTCTCGAAAGTTCTCTTGATATATTGTATGTAGGAGTTCCTGGAAGTGAGACGATTGGTCGCAGAGGGATGTCTGGTTTGTGTATTTTTGGTCTGCCGTAGAACCGAAGAAGGATAGGTTCATTCGATTTCATTTCCTATTTGTCTTGGTTTGTTATTTCTTCTGCTTTGAAGTGTTTGTTCGTACCACTGACCAGGTGAGGTATCCAATGTGTGGAAATATATAGAATTTAAATGAAACACTTTTGTATTCATTTATTTCGGTTACAGACCTACTCACTTACCTGTAGAACCAATTCTTCGAAAACTTTTCCAGTCGATGAATGTCTCGATCGATTGTGATCTACCATAAACCATGGACGATTTAATCCAGTGGTAACATGTTTGAGTTGAATTCTACCTAAATAAGAATAAGTAAAATCACAAGGAAATTACAAATACTTTTCACTTCATATCTATTAGAATATAACTTAAAAAATAACCACCGCTGATAATCTTATAAGTTGACTTGGATTGTTAAGACCTGTCTTTCTAACTTCATTTTCACTGATCACTTAGTGCTTCTATCATAATACAGCAACAAAGTAATGAAGGTGCTTATCGTTGACAGCTCTGAACCTCACCAAGTCTTTTTACCAAAAAAAAACAACAACATGATACAATTTCATTATACGTCTCTAAATAATACTGTAGGAAACTAGAAGTGGAGGAAGGACAATTAGGACACAAAGCAATTCAATGAAAGGGGAAAAAAGATAAAACAACCTTGGTAATACAATAAGATAAGCATTACCAAGGTAAGCTTAGTGTAAGGAGGAACTGTTTTTACACACGCGTGTAAAGAAGAGAAAGAATACCGTTCATGGATATACTTCTAAGTCGTAGAAATGATGGTTAAATAAAACGATCGATCTACAGGAAACCTACTTGGACAGGTCAGTATCTAAGTTTCCATACCTTGCGTCCAACTAAATACAAGCGACGTTTCGTAACCTGCCTATTTAAAAGGAACCAGCGCGTTCATACGGAAGATTCAATGCATGATAATATCAAAATACTAAAGCGAACATTAATGGAAAGTGGATATCCATTGAAGAGTTCATAAACCGCTGCAAAAATCATCAAGGATTCAAGCCTAATCTGTACTCTGTTTCGAAGAATTGCGTTTACATCACGTTATCATACACAAGAGAATCTAACAGCATAATATTTAAACGAAGGTTAAGGTCTACTGTTAACAAAACGTACTATGCAGCTAAGCTTATCATAGTTGAGATGACCGAACACCGATTGCAACATAGACCTCAACGCTGTATAGACGATTGCATCACATCCCGCTGCGTCTATAAATTTACATATATGTGTGGACAAACATACATAGGGAGGACTAATCGTGATATGCACTTGAGCGTAAGGGAACGTGTACCAAAATGGCTACAAAACCAGCTGGATTCACAAACATTGATAAGCGCCGGTGGCAGACAATCATCATCCTCATCCACTGCAAAACTTATCATTGACAAGAGTCACAGGATTGATATTAGAACAGCCTTTACAATTTTGCATAGCAACTGTTAGAGGGGTATACTTAGATTTGTTGAGGCGCTAGCCATAAATAAATTTAACCCCGTATTGTGTGTGTGTGTGGGGGGGGACAAAAGCAGTTTATCCTTACATTAAGCCTACCCTGGTGATGCTTATTTTATCGTATTACCATGATTGTCTTCAAATCTTATCAAGTAAATGTGTAATCAGATTGTTCGAAATGTATAGCGCTTAATACGTCACATGTTGTTCAGATAATCTACGTCTTCCAATTACACTGTACAAATTCATAGTAGGGACTAATTGGTTCAAACTGTAGGAAACGAAAAGACTGAGATGCAGGGAGGAATATTTGATATCTTATACAGTAGTGATGAGATATTGTACACATTTCATTAAGACAGTCATTTGCACAATATGTTTCATTTCCTATTCTGCTTCTATCACAATTTTCTCTGAATACGCCCATATTGTCTCTTGCATTTCTTCTGGGTAGAATATTTACCTGTTGCTAGTAATTGCCTATGATTTCTGCTGACCTCTCAACATATGCTACTTATATCTATTCTGATCAGCAGTGCCAATTACAATATAAATTCGCAGCTTTTGAACAGTATACAAAATTTACTACACATATGCAACACAGCTAAATGAAAGTCACCTGCTTATAGTGAGATGAAGAACTATGAAAAATAACTGGGAGAGAAGCTAATCACACTAGTTACCAACAATAAAATGAGGATTTTTTTTATTTTTAAGACAGAATAACATCACTGATTGATATCAGTTGGAGAACTATTCAAAAACATGAAGACACTGGACAACTATTTCTTCCTAGTGTACATGTAGATAGACATCTCAAAGTTCTAATAAGAAGTTGTGACCTATGAGGTTGGAAGTGTAAAAGGATGCTATCTGAAAACCTTGTTGGATGGCCGAGCTATATCGCAATTTGATAGAAGTAAGAAACTATGGACCACTGAACTGTGAGTTATCGGATAAATGGATAAACCATTAGTTGTAAACCTTGGAGGTTCTGGGTTCGACCCCATGTCGGGGTCGCTTGCGCGTACTGATGAGGAGTCTAATAATAACTATGTCATTATTTGTCCTTTAAGCTAACAAGTTGACAGAAGAGGCAGCAAACACGGGACTTCCTTCAGGTGAACGTAGAGAAGACAGAGGTGATGATGATACCCGATCAACAATACCAGCAACAACAAGCTCCAGTCGCCATCAATGGGAGAAACTTAAAGGAAGTAGCCTCTCTCACCCACCCTCCTAGGCAGAATCGTTTCAACTACAGGCAGCACATGCACAGACGAGGACGTCAAAGTCAGCCAGGATCGGAAACACAACAAGACAGGTCTTCCTTCATCAACCTGAAACCAGTGTGGAGATCTACACTCCACTCAGCATGAGGCGTGAACGACATCCGGATTTTCAACACCAATCCAGTCAAGTTAGTGCTTCTATGTGATGGTTCACAGACTTGGCGCGTTACGAAAGGCATTTCCAACAAACTACAGATATTCATCAACAACTGCCTACGCTGGTTCAATACTGAATATCAGATGGCCAGAATAATAGGAATAAACAACAAGGTACTCACTCTGGTTGGCAACGAAGCAAGATCCTATTACCCAAGAAATATGCAGAAGGAAGTGGAGGTGGATTGGGCATACACTGAGAAGGCCAACTGGGAACATCACGCGCCAGGCTAGTTGCTCGAGTGGAACCCAGATAGGAAACGACAAGTTGGGCGTCCAAGGCAAGGGTGACATGGAGGAGATCGTGTGAGGAAGAAATGAGAGCTTCTGGGCTGTCGTGGAGCCAGGTTTAAAAGTTTGAAGAGAACAGAGTGAAATGGCGACATGCTACTGAAGCTCTTTGCCCCACCAGGAACTCAAGGGAGAAATAATAATAATAGTAATTTGTCCTTTGGGTTCCTAGTGGAACATAGGGCTTCAGTAGCACGTCACGATTGCACTCACTTTGCAGTCTTCTCAACCTGGCTTCACGACCCCCGATAACCTTTCATTTCTTGCTCACACCATCTCTTCCATGTCACCCCTGGATGCGAACTTCGAATCCGATCGCGGTTCAGATTTTCATCTCACCTTCAGTCATCACCCAATACAAAGACAAATTGTGAACGCTTCCTGACCAGCATAACAATGAGATTTATGTTCATATTGTTAACATGTATAGACAATATGATCTGATTGATGACCTTCTACTATTTAGACAATCGATAACTTTGAAACATTAGTCCCTACTATGAATTTGTACAGTGTAATTGGAAGACGTAGATTATCTGAACAACATGTGACGTATTAAGCGCTATACATTTCGAACAATCTGATTACACATTTACTTGATAAGATTTGAAGACAATCATGGTAATACGATAAAATAAGCATCACCAGGGTAGGCTTAATGTAAGGATAAACTGCTTTTGTCCCCCCCACACACACACACAATACGGGGTTAAATTTATTTATGGCTAGCGCCTCAACAAATCTAAGTATACCCTCTAACAGTTGCTATGCAAAATTGTAAAGGCTGTTCTAATATCAATCCTGTGACTCTTGTCAATGATAAGTTTTGCAGTGGATGAGGATGATGATTGTCTGCCACCGGCGCTTATCAATGTTTGTGAATCCAGCTGGTTTTGTAGCCATTTTGGTACACGTTCCCTTACGCTCAAGTGCATATCACGATTAGTCCTCCCTATGTATGTTTGTCCACACACATATGTAAATTTATAGACGCAGCGGGATGTGATGCAATCGTTTATACAGCGTTGAGGTCTATGTTGCAATCGGTGTTTGATCATCTCAACTATGATAAGCTTAGCTGCATAGTACGTTTTGTTAACAGTAGACCTTAACCTTCGTTTTAATATTATGCTGTTAGATTCTCTTGTGTATGATAACGTGATGTAAACGCAATTCTTCGAAACAGAGTACAAATTAGGCTTGAATCCTTGATGATTTTTGCAGCGGTTTATGAACTCTTCAATGGATATCCATTTTCCATTAATGTTCGTTTTAGTATTTTGATATCTTCATCCATTGAATCCTAATGTTTCCGTTAGTTTAATTTTGATAACTTAAACAGGTTTTATTCTCTGAAGAAGCGATTTCTACGAAGTGACGAAACGTCAAAAATTAATTATTCTTCTGCACTGGGATTGTACAAAATGATATATTTCATTTATAATCCATTTACCTAATACGCTCAGCTTATTCAAGTCTATCAGGTCGAATTTTGATCCTAAACTTTACATAACTGGAAATTTTAATCCTTGTCATCATTTGATATAGTTAAGATAATAATCAGGATGAAAATGGAAATTTTGTTTCTCTACGTAGTTTACTGGGAAAAAAGATTTCATAGTTTCCCTCACAGCCTACAACTTAAAATACCCGATTCAACACCGTTGGACAAGAAAAAAAATATAATAGGTTCATTTTCATGGTGAATTAGAAGGATCTGAACAAGTGACAAGATGGAAAATGAACGACAATGATCATAACAAGTGATCTTAAGCAATGAATATTCTTCAAGAATCATCGAGTGACACATTAAAAGAAATTTGTTTATGATGATTGATTTGAAAGGTGATGGTCTAACCAGATCGATAAGAAAGTCACTAACTAATCTCTTCTGAACTTCAGGACATCTTTTCTACTTAGTAACAGATTCATATATGTATTAAACATAAACGTCTGGTTTAGGCTATATGAATGGATGTCTGCAAATAAAGTTGCTCCTGTGAAGTTACTTATATAAGGAGAAGAAAGCATGCACCTCCTAAATGTATCTTTAGACATCATACTGTATAGCTATCAAAATGTCGTTGTAAATCAATAAACACTTGAGGTTAAGTAGACCCACCAGAAACATTTTTCTTAAGTTATCTGAAACGTTAGATTGAACAGTTCCTTAACTTGCAGATATCAGAAGCGCGCGTAGACAATCCACTGATTTAAGCCCGAAATGTGTATATGGAAGAAGTATGCTGAATCGCTACTTTGACTATGGCTTTAGTGGCAATAAATCATCAGGTATTTCATTTAGAAACAAATTTATTCTACTTCTGAAACATTATAGCATTCATGTGACACTACGTTCATCAGATTAAACATATAATTATTATTCTTTATCCCTTGGGTTCCTATCGGAACATAGGGTTTCAGTAGCGCTTCGCTATTTCACTCTGCAGTCTTTTCAACCTGAGTCTACGACTGCCTATAACTTTTCATTTTTTTCATCACATCATCTCCGTATCGTCATCCGAAGATAGGTTCATGATTGGTTTGTTCCCAGGGCAGAGTTCCATGTTGCTTTTTCTTTCCGGCCATACATCTGATCTCCATCTTCAGTATCGAGTGAGTTTAGGCGGCAGCTGTTGATATGATGTATGTCTTTAGTTTGTTGGAAATGCTTTTCGTAACGCACCAAGTCTATCAATCATCATATAGAAGCATTGACTTACTTGATTGACATTGGTCTTGAAAATAGAAATGTTGTTCACGCTTCATACTGAGTGTAGTGTAGTGCACTGCTATAGATCTCCACATTGATTTCATATTGTCTTGTCTTGCTTTATTTCCGATGGTGACTGGCTTTGACATCTTCATCTGTGCCTGTACCGCCTGTAGTTGAGAGGATGGTGTTTAGGCAGGTAGGTATGTAGGTGAAAGAGACTACTTCCTTTAGATTCCTCTTGTTGATGGTGATCGGTGCTCGTTGTTGTTGTTGGTGGTTGTGTTTGTTGGATATCTTCATCACCTCTGTCTTCTCTACCTTCAGCTGAATGTAGTCCCATCTTCCTTCGCTGCGTCACCTCATCTATTCTGCCAACTTATTAGTTTTCGCCTGTAGATCTTTGAGTTTGTGCGACATAAAACACTAGACATAAATCATCATTGGCGAAATCCAGATCTTCCTCCAGGGTCTTTTCATCGGTCCAGATGGCGAATGCCAGTCATCTCACTCCTCACAGTTTGTTGCATGGTCAAGACCAGTTGAGTCGACCACAATCAGGAAGATGATCAGTGACAGTTGGTGGCAACCTTATTTTATCTTATTCCTGTATTCACTTCACTTCAAAGGCATCACTGTGCTTCCCATTATGTTGTGAATCACTTGGCACGCAGTATCCTCATATAGCATACAACTGTTGAATGAGGTTGATAAAGGTTTGTGGTACTAAAAACGTACTGTTGAAGCAACTGCTAAATTACTTCTTAGTCAACTCTGTCAAAGACATTTTCAAAATCGATGAGGCTGAGGTAAAAAGTTGATTGTCATTCTATGCTGTTCTATGATAATGCGTAGCGTAACCTTGCAATTTGATCCGCACATGATTTATTCTTCCTGAAGCCAGCCAGCCGGTTTCGGTCTTAGTTATGAATCCAGAGCATTTTGAGTCTCTTCAGGATGATGCAGCTTAGTATACTGCATGGATGGGACGCGGGTGGAGCATGATTCCGCGCCAGTTGTTGTTTTTGCAAAGACTTAGGTAGCCCTTTGGCAGTCTGACGATTAACAGATAGATTGTAAATAAAGACAATCTTCGAACTACAAACAACCTCGAATAAATCCTTTTTCGTCGGCGTAGCTGTAGCAAAAGTAGGGAGAAAATTGGCAAATTTAAACAATATATATTATCAAGATTATAAACATTCAGAATTTAGTAGTTACGAATGTCCAGGAAGAAGTTGAGCGCCGAGTCGATTCATGAAAACTTATGTGAAAGAGCTAAACATTTTGGTATATCCGGTGTTACGCTACGTCTTGTACAAGGTGTTATAAAACGAATCATTCCTGCTGTCGCTTCTACAAATGCTGTCATTGCTGCTGCATGTGCAACTGAGGTTAGCGTTATTCACAGTCAACTAACTTCATTCCTGTTAATGCTATTCACACTTCTACTGCTTTGTGTATCGGGAATTTGGACATAAGATTTACAGCTTCATTTAGATCGTTCGAGTATAGTTTTGCCAACGGTTATCAGAAGTGATGTAATTCTACTTGAATTGATACTATACACGCATCTATTAATCATGTCATTATTATCAATAGCACTCAGTGAACCCAGTGTGAGTGGGTTTAAAATCTGGGCTTAATGAGTAAGAAACAGTTATCCGTTTCATAGTAAAGATGGATAGTCACTAGCAGTGGAATCCAGGATGGGCATTTCGTACTATTTCGGACTCACTGGTCAGCTGGATGTACCTGCCTACCAGTGAGTGATGTTGTTCTCATCAGGATTCGGACTCGAAAGCGACCGCTTCAAACGCCACAGCATTATCCATCACACTACGGAGCCACGATAGCCACTTGGTGTGTGGTGGGTATAATTTCAGTATAATTGACTTGTATTATACCACTGTTGATTGAACCGAATCGATCGGTCTCTCACACACTGGGGCTAGTGAGTTCTTAATAAGACGAAATGCTCATCCTGGATTCCACTGCTAGCCACTATCCATCTTTACTTTGGTTATTAGAACACAGGTAATATCGAGGTATCCACACAGAAGCCCATATGCCAATAGACACTGATCAATTCTGTCAAATCAACGACGGTGTAATACAAGCAATTATACTAAAATTATCCATTTCGTTCATGTAAAAGCTAGGTGAAACATCCTGTGGTTGTTGTGGGATTACAACTTACCGAACAGCTAAGTCCCTTAACCCAGTCGGTAGAGCATCAAGCTAGTGCATTAAAAGCAGCCTGTTTGAATTAGGCTATCTACCAACTTAAATCATGAGACAGACGGAATGGATGTAGAACCTCGCACACAAGTGAATCAACTCAAGTTGCCATACTTCACAGAAGTATACAAAGAACAGGTAGAGAGATAAGGAGTGACATCAAAGTAGACAAAGTAGTGTGAGACAATAAAGAATCTGCAGATAGAGGTTAGTGCAAATATTCAAGCTTTAGATGTCAAGGAGTGAATACATCTGCACCACTGTAACCAATTTTCAGCCATGTCACCAAGAGTTCTCAATCACTGATTCTCTTCATTTCAGGGACCCCAGTGAGGTATTCTAAATCACCCTACACAGCTTAGACTAGTATAGTACGAGACCTAATGAACTGGGTGTCACGTCTTTTTATCTGATCACCCTGAACTTTCTTCCAACCTCATTATCATCAATATCAACATAGGACCAGGAATTACAGAGTAACGGTCCCACTTGCCACACCTCATATATTCACATCAACTAAAAAGGCAGTGAACTACAAGATGAAAAAAACACAATGCAGTCAAAAGAAATAAAAAGCGAAAAAAGAGAAAGAATGAAAAAATGGTGATATTCGGTATAGCATCGTTAAGATGAGGATAATGTATGCATACATCTACGCCACAGACATCGGTTCTCAGCCATGTGATCGCCTAGAGTCTCCAACCACTGGTTCCTCTTGTCCCGTGGACCCAACCGATTAATCTGCATCGCCTCGCATGGCTCAAACCAACAGTCAAACATCTCACCCATTGGTGCCATGTTTTAGTCTAGCCACCTCTGGCCCTTTTCCAGCTTGGATCTACTCCAACCAACATTGTGTGACCAGGCACACGGCGACTACGCATACCTAACTTAACACATGTCCCAACCAACCATCTCAGTCCATGAAGGTTCACATACGCATCAACTGACTTACCTCTTCTCCCTAAAAACTCTACACCTGACTTCCATGCTACTCACTCACGTGGTGACACCACGGAATACTGCATATACTATGAAGGCAATGGTGGTCAAACACCTGAAGTCTTCTCATGTCTTCCACCTTCAATGGCCATGTTTCACAGCCATATAGTAGGACAGACCGGACTGCTTTGCATGTGCAGTATACGCGACCCTCAATAGACAAGGGGATATCACGGCGGCGCCATAGGTGTCATAAGTTGGCAAAAGCCGACCGAGCCTTCCAACCTAATCCACAAATGAAGTTAGGCGGTAGATTGGCATGTGCAATACATGTCCAGGCCATGTCAGTTACTGAAGTTTCACAAAGTATACCAATTCCCAGCAATGCTACGAAGACATCTGTAATCAAAACTCTGTAACCTCTTTATTTCCTCTACTTCCAATGGCCATCTCTAATAGTCGTATAACAGGACAAATCGAACTGCAGAAATAGTATGCCCATCATTTAATAGGTAGTCGGATATCTCACCAATCCGTGCCACAGATGTTGCAATTTGGTAAATGTCAAACGAGCCTTTTGTATTCGAGCTGAGATTTAGTGGACAGCTCAATGTCCAATGGATATCGAAATATAAACACGCCAAGTGAACAAAAAACAAAGATATTTTTAAAATATAATTATTATTACCATCAGGTCCTCTTCCTCCAGTACGAATCAATGGGAGAGCATCAACTGTATATATATTAGGGTCTATTGCTTTACGAATAGCCCAATAACGACTAACTGGTCGAGGATAAATTATACCAGGGTGACGATTTAAACTGCAACTTGTAGACAATTGAGATTTGTCAACTTGTAAAGGACTGAATCTAGATATTTTGTAAGTAAGTAAAACATTTAAAAAAAATCAACTTCTCATAAATTTGAAAGTAAATTTTTATGATCATTTATAAACAAAGACTTAGGTTATCAACTAATACAGATATATTAACATAGAACTTATCTTTAGGACCATAAACAGGCAGATTACATCCCCTTGCAAGCGTCCAACCAGACGTCAAAGACTATATGCACTGGTGCCAACCCTTGGTTCGGTCACCCTGAACCATCATCTGACCTGGTTCAACTACATGTAAAACTCAACGTCAAGGTAGGCGATCGCTCAGCATCGATAACCTCATCAATAATCTTCCTTTCCTTGCTTATTACCCTTAATCTAACCTCAATATCACTCACATTGGTGATTTCACCTTGTGTGAGTGATACTACGAAGATGTCTCTGCTAGAAAACCCGTCTCATACTCCCATGATAGAACAGGAAGAACTGCAGAACAATATACTATTCGTTTAACAAGTAATCGGATATCTCGCCAGTCGGAGCCAGAGATGGTGCAAGTTGATAAGCTGAGATCTCGACACTTATCAACCCATTCAGGCTGATAATACTGCTTAATTAAGTGAAGTGATCAACGTACTCTACCAGTCCAGTCCCTATCTTTAAACTGAGAGTTGGCATAGACCACACTGAAACATCATCCTACATTCAACAGTTGAAAAACACATGTAAAACATACTCAGATTCTTACACAAAGTGTCTAGAAGAAATTACAGTTCATCAGAGTTTTCACTTAGTAGAGCCGTTTGTGTACTCCAAGTCAACTCCTGTTAGGCTGAAGATGCCCAGGGTTATGTCCATTACTGCGTCTTTAACAAAGTTGATCAGGAATGGTGATATAGGGTATTTCTGGCAGGCGGAAATTGTTGTTGTCAGTTCAAATGACAACTCTCCGCAAGCCCTTACACGGCTACATCAGTTCGAGTAGAGAACTTTGATAAGTGTTTTATACTTCCTCGACACTCCAACAATACCTCTTAGTTGAAGGAGTCGAATACCGCCTTCAGGTCAAGAAATACGGCGTGTCGGCCACTGGTTGGTAAGCATGCCTGTATTTCAGAAAGTGTCGACGGAGGAAAATCTGATCGATTCCAGGTTTTCTCAAGTTTGCTGTTTTCGAGCCCCATTTAGGTGTTGGATAACTATGGACCTTACGATCTTGAACACATTAGTAAAATCGATCCCCCTATGGTAGTCACAGGAAGAACTTTCTCCCCTTATACAGACTAAAATGATCATTCAAGTAAACCAGTTTGATGGGATTACTTCTAAATCCAATACACTAATTAGTACCTTAGTCGCTTATCAGCAATTTCCTACCTCTATCCTCGAAAACTTCAGGTGGCAAACTGTCAGGTCCAATCAGGTTCAGACTGCATGTTAGGCAACTGAAGCGTTGCTGAGGGCCAATTGAACTGTGCTTCAGTGTTCTTCCCAACGTTCCACCTGCCTGTCCTGAGAAGTTATCAGCATCCCATCCTGCTTGATGATTGTTTCATTCACCACCAGTACTAACGTGTGATCACAGTCCAAACTGGTACTTCAAAAAGAGTGACAATTATCCACTGATCCTCTTCAGCGATGGATTGTAGCAAGTGAGACAGTATCCTTATAGTTAAACTTTGTGTTGGCCAGAATTAAGTGATTGTTGAAGAAAAGTGGCAACAGACAAAATAACCGTTGTTGACTCATGTGTGAAATCCATTTCAAACATGCTCAATATGTCACACATTTTATGTATGAGTGACCGTTCTAATGTCAACGAGTAATACATTTAGTTGATTAATCAACGTTTTTAGCAATAACAGGTTAGTTAGATGTGAAGATAACTTTCAGACTACCAAGCCACATGATACTCCATTTATATGAGTGTTTCTGAAGGTCACTGAGGTAAATACAGATATATCCAATGAGATTTTTTTTATTTCGACTGCAAACGTGATATTAAGATGGAATGAAGAAACATGACAAGTTATTAAGGTGATTTTCATCACTGACAGACATCATTTGTAGAAAAATGGAAGATCTGACAGCACTGGAGGGTTGTTTCGCTCAAGCATGGGTTTCCTCAACAGTAAACACCAAAGATCCTATCAGAAGTCGAACTAAGGACCATCACCTAGAGTATAATAATGATAGTCGCTTTATTCTAAACAATATGTATGACAGTATGGAATTCTCAGTATGTAATTTTTCAACAAATTCACTCAGAACAAGAATATTTTTAGATGAAATGGTTATGGCACCGAAATGATATTAATAACAACAGTATTCAAGGCAATAATATGAAATAGCCAACTGGTTCTGGATGGGTATCCGGTACATAATGAAGAATCAACAGAAGTACAAATGTAATTTTGGTGGTGGTGGTTCATTTAGATGGTACAAAAATCTACAACTCAAGCTGAGTGCATCTAACGGATAGAAAGATGATGTACTTTTGTGCATTGAAAAGTCCATTTCTATAAAACGTAACATTTTCTTTCTCTGTTTTGTTATTGACTTGAGAAACGGAGAGTTGGAAACAGTTTAAAAATGTACAAGAGCACGTGATACGTTCAAAGAATACATTTAAATGATTAAAACAAATTAGAAGGAAAGAATTTGATAAATGTTCGATGGATAAATTCGGTAGCCCAAGGTTCAAGCAGGCAAAAACTAACAATTTGACAGAAGAGGCAGTGAAGACGGCACTTCCTTCAGGTGAACGTAGAGAAGACAGAGGTGATGATGATACCCAACCAACACTACCACCAACAACAACAAGCTCCAATCACTATCAGTAAGAGAACCCAGATGGGAAACGACGAGTTGGGCGTCCGAAGCGAGGGTGATATGGAGGAGATCATGTGAGGAAGAAATGAGATCTTCTGCGTTGCCGTGGAGCCAGGTCTAAAAGTTTGCAGAGAACAGACTAAAATGGTGATGGGCTATTGAAGCCCTATGTTCCACTGGGAGCCCAAGGGAGAAATAATAATAATAAGGTTCAAGCAGGCAGCCAACAGAAGATACATTTCAATATATAATATATAATATAATATATAATATAATAACATATCTTGCAACGCATGGTATAGAAAGTCTATAGTGTTTAAATCACTGAGTTACAGTCCACCTAAAAATTGAAGAATGCAAAATTATAGAAGAAAAAAGAGTTTTAATGAAGTCTTCTTAAATGTGACGTAATGCAAGTTGTGAATTATAAAACTGATAATAAACAATCAATGTATGATTGAAATATTTAAGAAAATAACAAATAAGAGAATTAAATTACCCAGGTAATTGTGCAGTTGCATAAACTAGTGGCTTTAACAATGTGAATCCAATAACATTCGAAAGCATCTTTACATGTTTAAAATTAGCATAGAGACTAGGCAGATTCATTTCAATAATACCTAAAAACAAGAAAGAATTCATAATTATAATATGTACATTAAATAGTCATGATTTTCAATCTAATCAATAGGACAACTGATAACGTATTTCATTTTAAACATCTTCGCTACGTAGAGGAACAACATTTATAGAATGGCTTAAGATTACATGATAGCAACAATATCTTCAATATAACTTCCAGCTGATAGAGTCGTGAGGGCGGTTGACACTTCCCGACTGTCTAAACCGTGGAAGGTACCTGAAAGAGATTTGTGTGACCACAGAGCCCATCGGACATCTACTTCAGGCCTGTCACATTCAGCCTTTTGACTATGATTATTTTTAACTTTTGTATTTTTGAGGCCGGATAGTCGAAAGGAAACGATAAATGAACCAACGACGCCGGCACGGCAGACCGTGGGGCATGGAGGAGTGTGTTATTTGTGGGGCCGATCTTTTCTACCCCCCCCCCTTCCACTGAAAAGGAAGCGTCAGCATGGCACTGCTGGTCATCCAAGGGAAACATCTTACTGCTATCACACCCCATCCAGCCAGCAGCAGTACGCCTTCGCCCTCAGACTCCCTCATAGTGTAGCAATTTACACTACAACGGTAACTGCTTTTCGTCTTACCACTATCCAACAGACCTTTCTGGTATGGTAGGACCTCGAGGAAATAAGCGTTCTATCAGCATAGCTTGTTGGGTCATTGTAATATGCAAGCCCGACCACCACTTCAAGGTAGCAGCTATCAGTCGGGATATTTTCCAGCTGTGTGAAGCATATATCTTAAGTAGTTAACACAGGTTATCACTTCTTCAAGTAATCTATAGACAATAACAAAGAGCCTAAAACCGACGTTATCATTCATGGTGTGAACGTTGATTCAAACGTCTAGTGACTTTGAAGTTTATCAGTGGATACCAAAAGAATACAGCATCACTGTAGAGATCTATTGCACTCAGCACAAAAAACAAGATCCGGATTTTCAACACCTACATCACTCAAGTCAGTGCTGCTATGCGGTTCAGAAACTTAGCGCGTCACGAGAAGCATTTCCAACAAATTACAGATATTCATTACCAAATGCCGCCTACACTGGCTCGTTACTGAAGCTCAGATCAGCAGGCCAGAAAGAATAAGCAACAAGGAACTCACGCTGGCCTGGCAACGAACCAACGAAGCGAGATCCCATTACCAAACAAATATGCAGAAGGAAGTGGGGATGGATTGGATTGGGCATATACTGAGAAGGCCGACTGGGGACATCACGCGCAAGCGCTGGCCCTCGACTGGAATCCAAAGGAGAAACGTCGAGTTGGGCATCCGAGGCAAGGGTGACATGGAGGAGATCGTGTGAGGAAGAAATGAAAGCTTGTCGGCAGTCGTGATGCCAGGTTCAAAAGACTTCAGAGAATAGCAGAGTGCAATGGAGGCGTGCTACTGAGGCCCTATGTTCCACTAGCAATCCAAGGAAAAAATTAATAATATAATAAAAGAATACAGCACTTTTCTTATGATACTTACTAAACACCTAGTATTCATCCCAGACTGAACTAAAAACCTTAAAGTACTGAACAGTTGTTTCGTCAGTATGAATCCATGACCTTGTCAGAGGTCATTTATTGCATAAATGAAAATTATGGTATAATTCTTTGTCAATCTACGATGACTGAGCGCATACTATCCACATTAAAAGTACTGCTGACACTTGACACAGTTTCGCTTTTCCATCCCAATGTCAGACATGCGCAAGAAGAATTCTGATTTCAGACACTTCAGTGAACTTCTACACCTATCTATATCGATGAGTGATCGTAACAAACAAAGTTATTACTGATCTTGGTGACTAGTAGAAAAATCAAAAAAGTGTATTTCGTCGTCTTTTGAGTTCATTAGTTGGATTAACCTGTACCTCAGTGAGTAGTGTTGTTCCCACTGAGACTTTAACGCAGTACCCGATTGCTTCAAACCCCAAAGTCTTGTCCACTAAACCCCTGGGGCATGACAGCCAATAAAAAAAATAATTATTTCAACACTATTAAAGAATATCTGTAGTATGGGGTACATAAGGCGGAGTTTATAAAATCCAAACCGACAGCGCACGCACACACACAGACAAGCACAACTAACAACGCAGGCAAAGAACAGAAAAACAAAAAATCTTTTCTACAACAAACTTCTAATTACATTAATTGTTTATTATTATTACTGCAAGTGTTTACAGTTTATGTACAGTTCAATTTCGCTTCACAAAATATGCACTTTAAAACCAGTACAGGAAGAAATGATAATCACTAATCCCTACTTTGCATAATAAGGAAAAAAATGTTATGATATCACTACTGTACATATAGCGGAGATTAACGGTCAACTTTTACAGGATAAAAACGGGTAAATAAATCATACTACTATTAACATTATTAAGTAGTTTATCATACTACCGACAATATGAAGACATAACGGCAACGTATAATATGCAGAAGTAAACATTTAAATGCCAGCATGATAACGATATTGATTTAACGGAGAATGTTGAGAACCTGGATAACTTGTTGAATACGCTAAATCCAATATCTGCGGTAATATATTTTTACGTATAGTCACTTTATCTACACTATCAAGGTGGATACGATGAAATAAACCAGACATTTTTGCATTATGGATTACTTGACGAAGACTTTTCTTATACAATGGATCATAATGCTGTCTAAGTAATCCTATTACAACACTAGTAAAATCTCCACGATTAACCATTTCAATCCACTGGTTAACTTGTTTCTCGGAATGATATTTCTGAAGCCTTTTCAACAACACAAAGTAATAAACACACAAAAATCAATTAGTAAATTATATTAAACAATAGGTGATCAGGAAAAAAGTAGAAATGTATGCTAAAGTGTTTACAAACAGACTGAGAACAATTACGAAGTATCTAGCGATAAATAGATGTTTTAACACTGGGTGATGATTGAAGGTGAAATGAAAGTCTGAACCATGATAGGGCACGAACTAGCAACCACAGGCCCGATACTCTACCAATTGAGCTACGTGACCCAGTATCAACAAAAGTCTGTAAAACCATGGCTATCTTAGATAATCACAAAATGAGAATAGATGTCTATCACTCCAACTATCAGAAACCTATGAACCGGGAGTTAGAAATTCAGATTGATATTCAAGAGATACAATTCAGGAATACGCATGCTCACCTTGTGTACCGTAAAGTATATCCAACAGAACGTGGATGATGAATCGGCCCTAACTATGGAATACTTGAGAGGCGAGTAATAGGTTTCAAACAATACTCAAGTTATGATGGGTAATGGCTAGTAGTGGGATCCAAGATGTCAGTTTCGTCCTAGTTAGGACTCACCAGCCGAATTTAAGTGCATCGCCGTGAGTAATTTTATACCCACTAATACCCAAAGGGAAGATTGTTTGCTTCAAACATCAGAGTTTTATCCACTAAGCGACTGAATGACAATCATAACAGTTTGTGCGACTGGCAGTTTTTATGTTGTTTGAAATTTCTTGCCATTGATTGGACCGAATCGATCGGAGTCTGGTGGCATACGGACTCCTTCGAGGAAGCCTTGATACTGCCTGTACAAGATCATAAAAAGGAGATTAAAAAACCTTCAAGAACTATTATGAATAAGACTTAGGAGTCTGATATGCCGAGAATAGTTGTCTCTCGGTGATTATAAATGTTTCAGTCTGACGCTTCAAACTAAACAGTCAATATGTCCCAGGTTCGAACCCCCTTACGCTTACTTGAACCTCAGCAACAGGCTAGAATTATAAGCATTAACATCACAAGCATAGCTTACAGTTAAGCATATAAAAACCCTTGTGACAACTTGGGTATTTTATTACCTTCAATTGCTTATCAGTTGAACCGTTTTTATATCCAAGAAATGATGGTAAAGATTAGTAGCTCAATGTGTAGAAGATAAGTTGGGTTAGTGCTATCTGAGCTTCGACATTTTGTCGTAGACAATTCATTACCAAGCAAGGTAAATTCTTTATGAAGTAAGTACTGAAGAGATCATTAAACCTCATGATGAAACATCCATGACTTAATATCGAAACTCAAAGAACCTCAAACAGCCATGAGCTTTCACATGCTTCTTCACGTCAATCTTGATAATTACATATTTATCATAAGTTATTTCCTTCATCCTGTACTGCAGTAGTCATAATTCAATATCTAACTTACTTTGTGTCTATATAGACACTTTAAAAATCTAGCAGTATATAAGACAAATTGACAGCCTTAGGCATCATCGTCAGCCATGAATATAGCACCAGGCAATACTGAGTTACGGTCAGAGTTACCACACCTCATATCACCACATCAAGTAAAAACGTAGTGAACTACAAGATGAAGAAAACACAATCCAGTCAAAAGAGATAAAAAGTACCAGAAGAGAGAAAGGAAGAATAAGAAAATGGTAAGGTTCGGTATAGCGTCGTCAAGATGAGGATAATCTGTGTGGGGATACATCTGTACCACTAACATCGGTTCTCAGCCATGTGATCACCTAGAGTCAGTCAGTCTCCAACCACTGATTTCTCTTGTCACGCACACCCCAACCATCCAGTCTGCATCACCCCACATGGTTAAAACCGACAGTCAAACACTTCATACATTGATGCCATGTTTTTGTCTGACCAAGAGCCAATAACCTTTTTCCAGCCTGGACCTACTCCAACCAACATTGTGTGACGAGACAGACGGCGACTACACATACCTAACCTAACACATGTCCAACCAACCATCTCAGTCCATGAAGGTTCACAACCACATCAACTGACTTACCTCTTCTCCCTCTCCCTAAAACTCTACTCCTGACTTCCATGCTACTCACTCACGTGGTGATACCACGGAATACTACCTATACTACGAAGGCAATGGTGGTTAAACACTTAAAGTTTTCTCATATCTTCCACCTTTGATTGGTCATATTGATGGTACTGAATCGACAAATTTAGTCATTATATCCTTAGCCTGTCAACGTTAAACTTAAAGAGACCTCAGTCGTTCAAACGCATACTCGCAGAAATATCTTTAAACAAGTGGAACAACAATGGAATCCAAGATGCGCGTTTCGTCCTGTTTGGAACTCATCAGCCAGATGTATCTGCATCCCAGTGAGTGGTGTTGTTCCCATTGAGACCTGAACTTAATGCCCATTGCTTCAGACAGTAAATAAATATCCAATAGTTCACTGGTATTAAACAAGTATAAAATAAAAAGTACGAAACAGCAACAAATGATACCCGTTGCAAAAGTGGTGGTTCTTATGCCCCAGTGGCCTAGCGGCCAATACTCTGGCGTTCGAAGCAATAGGTACTGATCTCCAGTTGCGATGAGAACAGCATAACTCACCAAGGTGCAAATACATCAAGTTGACGAACCGAAAATGAGACGAAACACGCATACCGTATTGTAATGCCATCTATTAAGATGAATGTAACATCATGAATATCCGGTGATATTCAGTCATCTGCATAGGAATCCATCTGCCAACTGAAGTCAAGTGATTCAACTTGATTCAACCACCAATGGGAAATTACGAGTATCATACAACAAGTAGAACAATAACCCTTCAGAATAATAAAGATATACAGAATTTAGATATTAAGAAAATGTGCATATGAATAACAAAACAAACAAACATCATTATCACTTACCTTTTCAAAATGTGTATTACTTGAGGAATATTTTGAGTAGCTTCAGTATAATTTTCTAAAATCCAAGCAACTCTTGCTTCTTCTTCAATATCAATCCATATTCTATACGTTCCAACATTTGGTTCAGTTGATCTTAATCTTGACCAAAAACCATCAGATAATTGACATATTGGTCCAATATTTCGTGATTCACATTCAAGCCATATAATATTTTTAGATGATATAAATTTATCTTTATTTTTCATTAATGTATGATGAAGACGTGTTTCAAAGCTTTTTTGTGTAATACAATTGACAGGAATATAATCATTATCACTTTTAGTATTTACCGATTGATAGATAGCCGGATGAATTAGATTACCACCTCCAAACAATGAACCTCTATGCATAGCTAAAGATTCTAAATCTAATACAGTTTCACCGTAGTCATGAAGTTCTTGAAGAATTAAAGATTTTCCCGAGCCTATTTTATATATTCAGTGAAAACAATAGAACTTTACTACATTCAAATAACATTGAGTGTAAAATAAACATAGACCGTTACAATAGTCAAAGATTCCCAGCCCTAGATATATCAACCAAATATTTATATTGTGCCAGGTTTCGGAACACAGATAGGCTTACTGACGCCTGACACTGGCTGTATTTCTCGACCTGAAGGCGGCGGCATTCGACTCTGGTGATCGAGAAGTCTTATGGCAATGTCCCTCACTGAAAGACGTGCCGTGTAAAAACATCACCTTATTGAAAGCTCCCTACTCGAGCGTCAATGGACGTGTTAGAGCCTATGGTGAGATGTCCGGGGAACTGTGCTAATTAAGTGGTGTCCGTCAAGGGTGCCCACTGTCTCCATTCTTATTCAATTTTATCACAGATATTCTTATGGAGGTCTCCCTCTCACCACCTGCCTGCATAAACGTTGACCTAATCGCAGGAAAGTTGATGTGATCGTGGGAGAACTTTTCTTAGACCTAGAATATTCAGATGACATAGTACTGTTAGGTGAAAACGCTGACAAGATGCAAAGTCTTCTGAACACTCCGAGTGGTGATTTCAGAATGTTTGGGATGCATTTCTCACCACCCAAATGCAAATTGTTGCTCCAGGATTGGTCTTCAACGGTGACCCACTGTAGCTAACAATAGATAGTGTAGTGTAGTGTGTGGTTGAGTATTTCGACCACTTAAATTACCTGAGAAGTGAAGTGGGATCAGCTCTGGTGCCCTGGTCAGTGGCCCATGAAATCTCTGCACGAATACAAAAAGCTCGACTGGTTGGCTTTTGCCAAATTACGACACCTATGGCGCCGCCGTGATATCCCCTTGTTATTAAGGGTCGCGCATACTGCACATGCAAAGTAGTCCGGTCTGTCCTACTGTATGGCTGTGAAACATGGCCATTAAGGTAGAAGACATGAGAAAACTTCAGGTGTTTGACTACCATTGCCTTCGTAGTATAGGTAGTATTCCGTGGTATCACCACGTGAGTGAGTAGCATGGAAGTCAGGAGTAGAGTTTTAGGGAGAGGGAGAAGAGGTAAGTCAGTTGATGTGGTTGTGAACCTTCATCGACTGAGATGGTTGGTTGGAACATGTGTTAGGTTAGGTATGTGTAGTCGCCGTCTGTCTCGTCACACAATATTGGTTGGAGTAGGTCCAGGCTGGAAAAAGGTTATTGGCTCTTGGTCAGACAAAACATGGCATCAATGTATGAAGTGTTTGACTGTCGGTTTTAACCATGTGGGGTGATGCAGACTGGATGGTTGGGGTGTGCGTGACAAGAGAAATCAGTGGTTGGAGACTGACTGACTCTAGGTGATCACATGGCTGAGAACCGATGTTAGTGGTACAGATGTATCCCCACACAGATTATCCTCATCTTGACGACGCTATACCGAACCTTACCATTTTCTTATTCTTCCTTTCTCTCTTCTAGTACTTTTTATCTCTTTTAACTAGATTGTGTTTTCTTCATCTTGTAGTTCACTACGTTTTTACTTGATGTGGTGATATGAGGTGTGGTAACTCTGACCGTAACTCAGTATTGCCTGGTGCTATATTCATGGATGAAGATGATAGTCAACGTTTTAAACAACTTCACCACCGTATTTATATATATATAAACTATAAAAATCATGGTGTGATGAGTGTCAGTCAACAAACATGAAATTCATTTCAAGCAAGACTTCTTTCTTATCGACTTTAATGTCAATAGTTAACTTGGTAACCCAACAGTGTACAATGATCCCCAGAATTCAGTTAAGTCCTGTGATTAGACAACATGAAATCACTTACAATCTAACAGCTAATCAATAGCAGTAATAAAGTTTTTTGAGAATGTGGCAATCAATGATTTAGTTTCAATAAACCTACATTGAAAGTTGCATCAAACAGTGCGGATCACAATAGCACGTCACTTAGTTCAGTTATCGTACAACACACTTGAACGATGGACTTAGAATAAATTTTAGTATCTAAGAGCAAAATCGGTTACTCGATGGAAACAATTCGTATGCGAAATATAAATACAACCTCTTTGATAATAAAAGAAACAAAATAAGACTGAAGAATGATTGAATGCAATGAGTTACACAAACATAAGCCAATCTGGGACAACTCAAGTGTCACCACGACGTTAGTCTGACGGTGAAAGGTCGAGTATACAACCTCTCAGTTTAAGCAGTTCTGCTTTACCTTAGTGAAACTTGGCCACTCCGAGCTGAGGATGTTCTAAGATTCTATGTGTTCCGTCATCGTTGTCTCCCTAGGATTCCCCGTATGCAGTGGCAACAGCATGTAAGTAATTCTGACGTATGACAGTGCGTGTTTGGGCATGATGCAGATCGTCATTCAATATATGAAGTCATCTGAAAACACCAACTTCGTTGGCTTGGACATATGTTATGGATGTTGTCTCAGCGGCTTCCATACCCTTCATTGTTTGGTAGCCCTCGGATTGGATGGAAGAAGTGAACGGGTGGTTAGTGTATGGTGTGGCAACATGGGATGAAGAATAGTTGTATTGGGTAGAAATCTGTTGGTGCATCACGACTCTCTGAGTGAGGTCCAAGAGATCACGCAAGTAAATGGCTTGAGATGTTTTTAGATATGGCTCGGAATCGACACCTGTGATGATCATGCTGTAGTTTCCTTTTATCTTCTGCTACTGAAAGGTAAAGAATGTTTACTTTTGAATACATCATACTGATCTGCCTTTCTAGACGCTCTATTCTTGTCGTTATATTATTTTGTGTCGTGCATATCTTATTGCTCTTGTTGTACCATGTTTATGTCCCAGTAGTAATAATAATAATAATATTAGTCAAGTAACTTACCAGTCAAACCAGAAATTACCCAAAATGGATTAGTCATACACCAACGAGGCCATGCATCTAACTGTCGTACTAACAGTCTACGCCATGACCGATAACCACCAAAAAGTCTATAAATATCTCCAGGCCAACCAGTCTCAGATAATATAGTCGCTAGAGAAGCAGATCTCTGACCACCACGCCAACAATAAATGATAAAGCTAGGATAAGTTGTGTTTTCTCTTTTCTTAACAATCTGATTATCAGAATCAGGTAGATTGTTCAATTGTGAAGCGTATTGATCAGCAAGTTGCTTTAAACAACGACTAATATTTGCGCAAACCATAGATGCACCATGAAGTCGAGCATGAACACGATCACCTAAATAAATTTTTAAAAATGTATGAATTATTCACTGAAGTAATGATTGAAGATGAAATGAAAATTTGGGCCACCGCAGGACTAGAACCACAGACTGTGGGTTATCGAGAAAATGCTCAACCAACTGGACTACGAGACCAGACAACTGCTGATCAGATTCCAATTTTGCTTTAGTCGCCAAGGCTCTCTCGTAACTCTAATTTGAATTCATGGGGCGTTACTGTCACCTGTTCGTATTCACACTGGCTGCAAGGCCAGGACTAGTCCAGTTGACAATCAGCAAAATGTACTTTAAGCTTAATGGAGATTTCATTTTTTAGGTTGAATGCATCACTGGATGGCAGCAGTTGGAAAACCACTGGAAACCTGGAAACATTAGTCAGTCCAAGATGAATACAACCACGTTTAAAATAAATTACTGTGTAGTGCTCATTAGTAAAATGCTTCCAGATGGATACTCTGAAGTTCTAATGATAAGCCATGACCTGTCCGGTCAACTAGTCGAAGCGGAACCGGAAGCCGTAAGAGGGATAGTCACTATACTATCACGAATTGACAAAGGTGGGTAACCACGGAGCAGTGAAACGCAACTCCGTGGATGAATCATTAACGCATTCACCATGAAAGATTATCAGTTCGACCGAAAGACACCATTTGAGTGCCCGTTCCTGGGGAGTTCCTGAGTAGCACGAAACAGACATCCAATGCTACTTCAAATAATGCCAGTCCCAGAAAATTTATTATTATTATTCCTGGTCCCTTGGGTTCCTACCGGCGAAAACTGACAGGTTGACAGAAGAGGAAAGGAAGAGAAAACGGGACCTCAAGTGAATGTAGCCAAGACAGAAGTGATGAAGATACCCAACCAACACAACAATCACCACCACCACCACCACCACCAACAACAACAACAACAAGCTCCAATCACCATCAACAGGAGAAACTTAAACGAAGTAATCTCTTTCACCTACTACCTACCTACCTACCTAACCAGGCAACGCAGCATCCTTCCAACTACAGGCAGCACACGCACACACAACGGCGTCAAAACCACCAAGCATCGCAAAAACAGCAAGACAGGCCTTCCTTCAGTAATCGGAAATCACTACGGAGATCTACTGCACTACATACACTCAGCAGAAAGCGTGAACAACATCCGGATCCCGATTTTCAACACCTACATCACTCAAGTCACTGCTCCTAGATGGTTCACAAACTTGGCGCGTCACCGAAACATCTTCCAACAAACTACACACATTCATCAACAACTGCCACCTACGCTGGCTCGATACTGAACATCAGATGGATGGTGAGAAAGAATAAGCAACAAGGAACTCACGCTGGCCTGGCAACGAACCAACCAAAAGCCTATCACCCAACAAATATGCAGAAGAAAGTGGAGATGCAGATGGACTGTACAAACACTGAGAAGGCCAACTGCGGACATCACGCACCAGCGCTGGCCCTAGAGTGGAATCCAAGGGAGAAACGACGAGTTCAGCGATGGTGTCCGAGGGTGACATGAAGGAGATGGTGTGAGGAAGAAATGAAAGCTTGCGGGCAGTCGTGATGCAAGGTCCAAAACACTGCAGAGACTAGCAGAGTGCATTGGAGGCGTGCTACTGAAGCCATATGTTCCACAAGAAACCCAAGAGAAAAGTAATAAATAGCAATAATTTACCCCACAAATCCTCAAATTAAATTTCAGCGTTTTTATAATACAACTGGTACTTAAAGGGTTTCAAGGCTTTTTTTCATTACTTTTACCTTGTTCATATTGCCTGTAACCAGAGAAATTCCTGAAATAATACTAATAGGGTTCTTAGTACTGTTTTATGGACAACAGTTGCAAATCAATGGTAAAAGCACTTAGACACTGAGACGACTCAGTGAACATCTTGGAAAAACGGCTTCAGTAGCATGTCGCCGTTTCACTCTTCACTTCTCTGCAGTCTCATTAACAACCTAGTTCCACAACTCACCATAACCTTTCATTTCTTCCTCACACCATCTCCTCCATGTCACCCTCACCTCGGACGCCCAACTCGTCGTTTCCCATTTGGATTCCAGTCGACGGTATGGACTGGTGTGGCATGTGATGTCCACAAACCGTCTTCTCAGTGTAAGTCCAATCCTATCCAATACATCTCCACTCTCTTCTTCTTCGTCATATTTGTTGGGCGATGGGTTGTTGGTCAGTTGGTTTGTTGCCAGTGAGTTCCTTGTTGTTTATTCTAATTATTCTGGCCATCCATCTGATCTCCATCTTCAATGTTGAGTGAGCGTAGACGGCAGCTGTTGATGTGATGTGTGTGTGTGTGTGTGTGTAGTTGTTTGTTGTAAATGCTTTTTGTAAGGTGCCAAGTCTCTCAACCATCACATAGAAGTACTGACTTACTTGACTGACATTAGTGTTGATAATGTGGATGTTGTTCACACTTTATAGAGTGCAGTGCAGCGCAGTGCACTGAGTTAAGATTAACGAATGAAGGTCAGTCTTGTCTTGCTCTATTTCCTATCCTAACTCGGTATCACATCGTCATCCGTGCCTGAACCACCTCTAGTTGAGACGTCGATGTCTAGGCAGGTATGCAGGCGAAAGAAACAACTTCCTTTAGATTTCTCTTGTTGATGATGATTGGTGCTTATTGTTGTTGTTGTTGTTGCTGCTGCTGTTGGTTGGATATCTTCACCAGCTCTGTCTTCTCTACCTTCACCTGAACGAAATCCCGTCTCTCTTCACTGCATCACCTCACCTATTCTGACAACTTGTTAGTTTTCGCCTGTAGATCTTCGATTTTGTGCGACATAAGACGACACTAGACATGGATGATCATTGGCGAAATCGAAATCTTCCTCCAGGGTCTTTCCATCGGTATAGCCAGCGAATGCCCATCATCTCGCTCCTGACAGTTTGTTGGATGGTTCGGTCCAGTCTAGTCCAGTCCAGTCCAGTTGAGTCGATCACAATCAGGAAGGTGATCGGTGGTAGTAGATGACAACCTTTTCTTGCCTCACTCCTGTATCACTTCACTTCACTTGACTTGACTTCAAAGGCAACACTGAGCTCCCCATTGTGTTGTGAATCACTTGGCATGTAGCATCTTCATTTTGCATATAGCTGGTGTTGAGTGAAGTTGATGAAGTTTTGTGGTATTAAAACCGTGGTGTTGAAGCAGTGTTGTTAAGTCACTTCTTGATCGACACTATCGAAGACCTTTTCAAAATCGATGAAGTTGAGGTGAAGGGTTGACTACCATTCTACGCTCTGTTGTATGATGATGCGTAGTGTAGCGTTAAAATTTGATCCAGACATGATTTATTCTTCCTGAAACCAGCCAGCCAGCCGGTTTCGGTCGTAGTCTTGAATGCAGAGTATTTTTTAGTCTCTCCAGGAGTGGACACGGGTGTAGCATGACTCCACGCCAGTTGTTGTTCTTGCAAAGACTCAGGTTGCCCTGCTTTCGAAATTCGACAAGGTAGCCCTTTTTTAATCACCAGGTACCTTTCTCTCATTCCTTGCAAGCCTTCTGCAATAGTAGTGTGAGCATTTCCATTGTTGTCTCTGCGTCTGTCTTTAGTGCTTCTCCAGGAATTCCACCTGGTCTTACTGCTTTCTAGGATTTCAGCAACTTCATGGTGTTGAAGACTTCACTCCTGCTTTTGTCGGAAGGCTTGTGTTCACTGATAGTTCTGTGGCTGGGCTGCTGGTGGCATGTCTGGACGAGTTGCAGTTGGTGGTGGTGGTCGATTCAAAAGTTTTTTGAAGTGGTCAGCCCATCGTTTCCTCTGTTTCTCCTTTTTGGTAACTAAGTTTCTTTTGCTATCTCTTCTCAGATAGTAACCTGGTTATTTTATATAAGATTGTCAGGTCTCTCCCAATGCAGACTGTCCTGTTTCACACATGCTAAATACTACCTTAAAAATTGATAAGATATTTTGGAAGTGTTTCGTCTAAGTCATAGTATTCTTCAGTAGTCAAAATCTCCTGCTCAAACGTTACTAAACAACACGAGAGGCTACATATTAGCAAAATTGGGTATGGGATATAAAACTGATCACAATTGTTATGTAAGCAAAACTATACTTGAAAGCATACCTTGATTGTACAAACGACCAACAAATGCTCGTTCTTCATCGCTTAAAACAGGGATATTGATTGCTCCATAAATATGATCCCTGTAGAATTCACTAGGACTACGTACATCAATAATAATTGGTTGTAAAGTTTGATCTACAAATAAACTAGACCATGTACGACAACCTAAAGGACCAGATTCTGGTGGTGGTGGAATTCCTGAATGCCATGGATCTTGTGTAGCATATGGTTCATAAATTAAAGTGACCAACGTAGAATTTCTCTTTTCACATGTATTAAAAGCAGTTGAACTAAGAAATGAGTTAATTTGTTGATTAACTTTTCTCAGAGAGATTTGACTTCTGTCAGGCAGAAATACACGTGAAAACACCTTAATACAATTAGATTTGAGTACCTAAATCGCGAAAGAAAAAAAATGGAACGGTTAGCTAATAAAAATTTAACAAGTTAGCAGAAAATTGTTATATTACTACTTATTGAAATACTTGTAATTCTCCGTTGTTTTATTCCATCGAATTGTTCGACTTCTATTGGTATATGGGATCCCATACGCATGTCTTGATATAGCCTGGATGATAATTATGGTAATTTGGTTGGTTGCGGCTAGCAGAAGAATCTAGGACATGCGTTTCGTCGCATTTAGAACTCGTCATCTGGATGTACATGCACGCCAGTGCGCAGACTTTGTTTCCACTGAAACTCGAACCTCGTGCCCATCGTTTCAAACGCCAAGGCACCATCCACTATACGCTATTCATTATGTCCCAAATACGACGAAACGCGAGTCCTGGATTCTTCTGCTAGCCACAGCTAACCAAATTCTCATAATTAACATTCAGGCAATATCGAGGTATCTGCATAGGAGTCCATATGCCAATAGTGATCGAAAAATTCGATGTAATAAAACAACGGAGAATTACATGTCAATAAATAGTAATAACTACTACCCGTTGTACAAGAAGTGGCTATCGTTCTTCCGTGGCACGTACGAGGTTCCAGTCGAAAATACAACGAAACGTGCATCCTGGATTCTTCTGCTAGACCCAACCAACCAAATTATCATAAAAAATTGCTTTTTCTTCATGTTATTCAGTCAAAAATATTCTCTAAGGAGGGGATAAGTTGAACTTTGCTTTATCAGCCTCAAGTGTTTACATATCCCATTATTAACACGTCCATCATAACGGTAACACCACTTACTTCTCAACAGATGAAGTAAAAAGACAAGAGTAGGAAAACAGTAACCTCCATTCATACCTAAGCTGTATACTGCAACATTTAGATACTAGTGAACAATAATAATTTACAGGATACATCTCTTTGCACCGCAAATTAAACAATTATCATGTTATCTGGAGAGTTTATTTAATAGCCCCGTGTATGACATTGACAACAAACCGCTAATCTTGTAAAAAGCGTTTCTCCTTGAATACACTTTCATCAACTTCGTTATCACTCTTTTTCTCTCCGACTGACAACAACACCAAGCACCAATCACCATCAACAAGAGAAATCTAAAGGAAGGTGTCTCTTTCACCTACAAACCTGCCTACCAGCCTGCCTGCTTAGACACCATCCTCTCAACTACACGTGGCACAGGCACACATGAACATATGAAAGCCAGTCAGCATCCGAAACACAGCAAGACAACACTGGCTTTCATTCATCAATATGAGATCAGTGTGGAAATCTACTACACTCAGCATAAAGTATGAACAACATCCACATTATCAACACTAATGTCAGTCAAGTAAGTCAGTACTTCTATGTGATGGTTGAGAGACTTGGCACCTTACAAAAAGCATTTACAACAAACAACTACACGCACACACACACACACATCACATCAACAGCTGCCGTCTACGCTCACTCAACATTGAAGATGGAGATCAGATGGATGGCCAGAATAATTAGAATAAACAACAAGGAACTCACTGGCAACAAACCAACTGACCAACAACCCATCGCCCAACAAATATGACGAAGAAGAAGAGAGTGGAGATGTATTGGATAGGATTGGACTTACACTGAGAAGACGGTTTGTGGACATCACATGCCACACCAGTCCATACCGTCGACTGGAATCCAAATGGGAAACGACGAGTTGGGCGTCCGAGGTGAGGGTGACATGGAGGAGATGGTGTGAGGAAGAAATGAAAGGTTATGGTGAGTTGTGGAACTAGGTTGTTAATGAGACTGCAGAGAAGTGGAGAGTGAAACGGCGACATGCTACTGAAGTCGGATGTTCCACTAGGAACCCAAGGGAGAGATAATCATGATAATAAACATCATTAGGATAAGATGTGAATGCATCTACTCCATTTGGTAAGATTCTACGACGTATGATCTACTCTCTTTGAATATTTAATTCCAAAACTTACATAAAGCAGAATAATATTCGATAATCTCATGAAGTGGTAAAATTTTTTTTATCTTACAAACCGTCACTTTCTTCGAAATTATCATACTTCTCTTAGCACTCAGCATTTTGATACATGCTTCCACATGCAAAACATTGATTTCAACTACCACAGCTGATCAAATAACTTCCCAACCTACGCTTAACTTCTGCACCGCAGGTTAGCAACATTACAGAAATATCGAGGCATCCACATAGGAGCCCATATGCGAATAGAGGTCGAACAATTCGATCCAACAAAACAACGGAGAATAACAAGTATATTAATAAATAGTAATAATTACAGAAACAGTTGTGGTCGATTATGAGAAGCCTTCTAAGAAGCTTCCCTTTAAATGAATACGTTATGAAAACTGTTATAGTTTTTGGTATGTACTACGATTATGAATACATACAATCAATGCTAATTTCTTGTGCCGTCCCAATATCCGTTCAGGAGACTAGCGCTTACTATTCTCATTAATTGATATCGATCTCGCTTATATATACACATCAGAACTACAGCACCGTGAGGTATAATACTTCACCAAGATGAAATGAATGACTGTATGTCTAGGAAACAGGATTAGGCTCAATCATTGACTTTCTTTAACAGGTGATTATTTCAATTGCAAGAGAGAAAAATATCAGAAGTCAGTACAAAGCTCTGTAACTTACCTGTGTAGTAATGCCAGGGTGATTAATCCCAAGGCTATCTTAGCAATAGCTTGATAGGAAGTAGTCTAAATCGAAATCAACAGTTTAAGTCATCAGCCGTTAAGGTAGAAGTTTGTGACTTTAACCTAATATCATGTTGTATTGGGCGTTGCTGATCAGAATGGATATAAGTAGTATATGTTGAGAGGTTGGCAGAAATCATAGGGAATTACCAGCAATGGGTAAGGATTCCGCCAGGAGAAATGCAAAAGACAATGTGGCCGTATTAAGAATAAGTCAAGATAGAAGCCAATGATGAAATGAAGCACATTTTGTAAATGACTCTTAGTGCAAGGTGGACCATACTTAACGACTACTGTACACGATCTCAATAACAAACATCCCCTCATTCATCTCCATCTTGCTGTTTACTTAAATTGGTGTCGCTGCTTCTGCACATGATGTAGATCCCATGGTCTACAGTGTTCATGGATGGAGACATCAAGGTCTTCCTCAGGGATTTCGAGTCGGTAGCGTGGTGGGTTTCCGGAATCCAGGAGAAAAGGTTGTGGTGCTTGGCAAGTTGCTGAGAGGTGGAGTGAAAGAGGCATATGACAGCGTGGAACGTGTTGATCGGACAGAGACTTGGCAGAGAATGCTTGAACGTCCAGAGGCAGAGTTTGACAGGCCAGCGGACAGGAAGCTGGTGATACAGTACTTCCGTAGCACGGAACTTGGAATAGACGAAGATACGCTGGTGTTAGCTGTGAAGTTGACTGGATGAAGACTCCCAGGTACAGTTGCTGGCTGCACAGTTCACCGAAAGTGTCCCGAATTCCATCGCCAAGCAGCTACGACTAGTCAACGCAGCCCAACCCATGGATGTTAGTGAGTTGGCCAAGGTCACCAAACAGCTAATGGACAGAGCAGTAGCTGCAATGGAGTCATAAGAGTTAAATAAATAAAAAACCGACAACCTTTGGGAGGAGATGGCTACACTTCGAATGAATATCACTAGATGGAGTAAATGCTTTGCATACGGAAAACTGGGACACTGGCGAAGAAACTGTCCGGAGAGGGGAAAAAGAAAAAGTTTTGAAAGACATGAGTTCTGTTTTTCCGACTAGGCAAGATGTTGTAGAAGCCATAGATAGAGCTGTGCATACTAGAATGCGAATAAATGATCTTGTGTCTAATTGATACGAAAGCGGCAGCCTCGTTGATAGACAAGAGTCAGTCTTAAAACATAAGACTATGTGAGCTAACGGTTCACACGGTTGGGGGAATGTTATCATATGAGCAAGGACAACCTTATTGGCTAATTATGCCCAACAGCTCACTAATCAAAATAAGTATCCAACTTCGAATCTAGTGGTTTTATATTCTGAAGAAAACTGTATAGAAACAATGTTTGTTGTCAAGTAAATTGTCTTCCTTACAGTCGCAGGCTAGTCTTTGTCTTCTGATTTTCGTCGCTCAATAGAGTATCAGGTTTTGAGGGAGATTAGTCGCTATTCGTCTGCAGTTCAAGTATCTAACTGCGTTAGTAGCGTTCTAGCACCTCGAATAATCCTGTCAGTCACTCCCATTAGGTTACTTGAGTGCTGTGTTAAACAATAAAGTCTTCTTCTCTTATGAAAACTACCTTCTGAGTTGAAATAAATAAATCCAATTAACCATTTCAGTAGTTGCTAGGAATGGGTTAAAATTAAACTTAATGTTATAAGGTGAACCATAGACAAACCTTTCTTAAAAGAAAAAATAATAATTCGTTAAATTATATATGTTTAGAGTTAGTACGATTCACCCTTTAATAGTTACAACGAAACTAGACAAGACAGCTGAGAACCACTATTAGAATTACGGCGATCAAATGTGTTAGGATACACTGGCTAACCTCTCATCAAATCCACTTAGGCTTTAATCATAAACTTGTATTTCATCAAAATCGATTTCTTGAAATGACTGCTTGATGATCTTGCCTTCAGATTTACTTCAATCAAAAAAGCGAAAAAGGATATATGATAAGCTGCAATGTGTAACGTGGAGCGTCATGAGTGACTAAACATTATGTTGTACAGACTAACTAACGAGGTTTTCTTGTCGAAGTTAGAATGATACATGCAACTGAAGTCGTAAAATTTATTAACGATCAAAATATACAAATTAAGCTAGACAAGTGAGAGTGTGAAGAACTCAAGATCTTATACTGTAGACAATGTCAAAAACAACACCACTAAGCCTAAGCACCTTTGAAGTGAAGACAGGAGTAAGAAAAGAATGTCTACTATCACCCATGATATTCCCGATTGTGCTCGACAACATCAAGCAGCAAATCGTGAACAGCAAAAAGATGATCACATGCTGGACCGATTAAAAGAGTCTCGAAGATTTGGATTTCACCGATCACTTGTGACTAATGTCACACATACACGAAGATCTACAGGCAAAATACAACAAGTTGACAGAACAGGCAGAACAGCGAAACGGACTTCAAGTGAACGCAAAGAAGACACAGGTGATGAAGATACCCAACCAACACCACAATCACCACCACCACCAACAACAACAACAACAACAAGCTACAATCACCATCAACAGGAGAAACTTAAACGAATTAATCTCTTTCACCTACCTACCTACCTACCTACCTACCTACCTACCTACCTAACCAGGCAACGCAGCATCCTTCCAACTACAGGCAGCACACGCACACACAACGGCGTCAAAACCACCAAGCATCGCAAAAACAGCAAGACAGGCCTTCCTTCAGTAATCGGAAATCACTACGGAGATCTACTGCACTACATACACTCAGCAGAAAGCGTGAACAACATTCGGATCCCGATTTTCAACACCTACATCACTTAAGTCACTGCTCCTAGATGGTTCACAAACTTGGCGCGTCACCGAAACCACTTCCAACAAACTACACACATTCATCAACAACTGCCACCTACGCTGGCTCGATACTGAACATCAGATGGATGGTGAGAAAGAATAAGCAACAAGGAACTCACGCTGGCCTGGCAACGAACCAACTAAAAACCTATCACCCAACAAATATGCAGAAGAAAGTGGAGGTGCAGATGGATTGTACAAACACTGAGAAGGCCAACTGTGGACATCACGCACCAGCGCTGGCCCTAGAGTGAAATCCAAGGGAGAAACGACGAGTTCAGCGATGGTGTCCGAGGGTGACATGAAGGAGATGGTGTGAGGAAGAAATGAGAGCTTATGGGCAGTCGTGATGCAAGGTCAAAAACAAAGCAGAGAATAGCAGAGTGCGATGGAGGCAAGCTACTGAAGCCCTATGTTCCACAAGGAACCCAAGAGAAAAAATAATAATAGCAAGGCCAATGCGATAGTGTATGTCCCAGTGACCAGGTGGAATTCCTGGAGAAGCACTAAAGACAGACGCAGAGACAACAATGGAATGCTCACACTACTATTGCAGAAGGCTTGCAAGGAATGAGAAAGGTACCTGGTGATTAAAAAAGGCTACCTTGTTGAATTTCAAAAGCAGGGCAACCTGAGTCTTTGCAAGAACAACAACTGGCGTGGAGTCATGCTACACCCGTGTCCACTCCAAGCAAAATATTAGCTGTGTCATCCTGGAGAGATTAAAAAATACTCTGCATTCAAAACTACGACCGAAACCAGGTGGCTGGCTGGCTGGTTTCAGGAAGAATAAATCATGTCCGGATCAAATTTTAACGCTACACTACGCATCATCATACAACAGAGCGTAGAATGGTAGTCAACCCTTCACCTCAACTTCATCGATTTTGAAAAGGTCTTCGATAGTGTCGATCAAGAAGTGACTTAACAACACTGCTTCAACACCACGGTTTTAATACCACAAAACTTCATCAACTTCACTCAACACCAGCTATATGCAAAATGAAGATGCTACATGCCAAGTGATTCACAACACAATGGGGAGCTCAGTGTTGCCTTTGAAGTCAAGTCAAGTGAAGTGAAGTGATACAGGAGTGAGGCAAGAAAAGGTTGTCATCTACTACCACCGATCACCTTCCTGATTGTGATCGACTCAACTGGACTGGACTGGACTAGACTGGACCGAACCATCCAACAAACTGTCAGGAGCGAGATGATGGGCATTCGCTGGCTATACCGATGGAAAGACCCTGGAGGAAGATTTCGATTTCGCCAATGATCATTCATATCTAGTGTCGTCTTATGTCGCACAAATCGAAGATCTACAGGCGAAAACTAACAAGTTGTCAGAATAGGTGAGGTGATGCAGTGAAGAGAGACGGGATTTCGTTCAGGTGAAGGTAGAGAAGACAGAGCTGGTGAAGATATCCAACCAAAAGCAGTAGCAACAACAACAACAATAAGCACCAATCATCATCAACAAGAGAAATCTAAAGGAAGGTGTCTCTTTCACTTACATACCTACCTACCTGCCTGCTTAGACACCATCCTCTCAACTACACGTGGCACAGGCACACATGAACATATGAAAGCCAGTCAGCATCCGAAACACAGCAAGACAACACTGGCCTTCATTCATCAATATGAGATCAGTGTGGAATCTACTACACTCAGCATAAAGTATGAACAACATCCACATTATCAACACTAATGTCAGTCAAGTAAGTCAGTACTTCTATGTGATGGTTGAGAGACTTGGCACCTTACAAAAAGCATTTACAACAAACAACTACACACACACACACACACATCACATCAACAGCTGCCGTCTACGCTCACTCAACATTGAAGATGGAGATCAGATGGATGGCCAGAATAATTAGAATAAACAACAAGGAACTCACTGGCAACAAACCAACTGACCAACAACCATCGCCCAACAAATATGACGAAGAAGAAGAGAGTTGAGATGTATTGGATAGGATTGGACTTACACTGAGAAGACGGTTTGTGGACATCACATGCCACACCAGTCCATACCGTCGACTGGAATCCAAATGGGAAACGACGAGTTGGGCGTCCGAGGTGAGGGTGACATGGAGAGATGGTGTGAGGAAGAAATGAAAGGTTATGGTGAGTTGTGGAGCTAGGTTGTTAATGAGACTGCAGAGAAGTGGAGAGTGAAATGGCGACATGCTGCTGAAGCCGTTTTTCCAACATTTTGACTGAGTCGTCTCAGGGTCTAAATGCTTTTACCATTGATTTGCAAATGTTGTGCAGAAAGCAGTTCTAGGAACCCTATTACTGTTATTCCGGGAATTTCTCTGGTTACAGATAATGTGAACGAGGGAAAAATGATGAAAAAAAAGCCCTGAAACCCTTCAAGTACCAGTTGTATTATAAAAACTTTGAATTTTCAATTTGAGGAGTTGTGGGGATTCAGTGATTTCAAATTTGTTTTCACCATGAACTTATATGAGTTTGAGAAACGCTAGAAACCTGAAGGATTGGATTCCGAGAAAGTGGCTTAGTGGTATTGTGGTGTTCGCGGAACCTGAAGGTTCTTAGATCATTCCACCGCTGGATCAAGAATGTACACTGCTAAGGAGTCCCATACTAGGACAAAACAGCTGTTCAGTCTTGCGAGGCTTGCAATATTTTTCGAACTGATGTCACGTCATGATGAATTTTTGTTGAGAATCTTTGGCGATATTTCTTGAGACTTCCAAACTGTAACTAGTGAATGATAAACTATTGAGAAACCAAAAATACCAAGGATACTATTATTATTATCATCATCACAGGTGTTTAGCCTTCGTCCTTACTATTCTTAGTAAAGTAACAGTTTCAAAGAATTAAATATTCTTTGTCGATTACAATAATATTACAGAAGAGGAACATCTTTTCATTCAGCTGGACTATAAACATACAAGCTAGAAAGAAGGACAGGAAGATCAAAGCTTAAACAGTGATACTTAACTAAGCCATTCGAAAACATATAAGATAACAGTAGAACTGTTGCAATAATTTTAACGACTATAAAGCACACACATACACAGACATATATTATTATATCCCACCTCCTCACTTACTTAGGCACCAGTCAGTCGAATAGTATCATAAGTGACCCTCATGCAATAAATATAACTCAATGCCTAATGGAAGGACATGCATCAGTTTGAGTTACAGTAAATACGTCTTTAATATTAACCATTATTATCGATTCATGAGTGTTATGAAATAAACATTGCCATAACATGTTAAATACACTCTTTAGATGTTAGTTAGATGCAGAGAATTGGTATGAATTCTTAAGTCTAAATTCCTCTACTTGTTGGCACTTATCAGTCAGAGATATTTACGACCTCGATAATACCCTCAAGTGACTAATCGATATACTTCTTCTCTTCAACACTGATTTCACTTGGAAATTAAATAAATAAGGTGTAACATTGAAAATCAAAGCATCGGATAGTACGTGGATCAAGTAACTAAAAGTTACAGATTGGCTGTAACTGAAATAAGCCCTAATAAATATAAAAAACCATAATTATTTAGTAGCAAACGCTGAACACAAAGTCCTTTCGTATAATCCACAATACAACATCATATAATCAGTCAGTCATATAATCAATAAATAATAGCTTACCAGAAAAGAAATATTCAGAGAGAAAAAGAAATTTATTAGCATTGTAAAAGAATAGCATATATAATACAAAACCGTCTTTAACAGCATAATAATATGATTATGAATCAATACATTTTGTTCAATGTATTCATTGAAACCAAGGAACTGATTTAATTCATAATCATTGATTCCCCTGTATTAAGTTTATCATTCAAGTATAACTTGAAAGAAAGTGTTCTAGGTGTAGTAACATCACTGACATGAATCAATTGACCATGCATTAGATCAAGTTCTGGAAAAAAAGACAAAAGAAGAAAAAAAAAAAGGAAACCAGAATGGAACATATCCCGCTGTAATGATAACTATCTAATATTTTGAGGATAACTTTCTTCTGGGAATAACTAAGATTAGTTGCTAGGTATATTGTGATGACTACATACATACTAAATATGCATAGTGGCTAGTAGTGGGATCCAGGATGAGCATTTCGTCCTATTTCAGCTGGATATACTTGCCTCCCAGTGAGTGGTGTTGTTCCCAACGGTTATCGGACTCGAGAACGACCGTTACAAGCACCAGAGCGTTATTCACTACACCATCGAGTCATCACAACCACTTCCTGTGTGACTGATATAGTTTTAATGTTATTGCTTGTATTATACCGTTATTGATTGGATAGAACTGATCGGTCTCTATTGACATATGGGCTCCTCTGTGCGGATGCCTAGATATTGCCTGTGTCCCAACCATAGTAAAGATGGATAGTGTATACATACCATTGAAAAATAATCCTCTGTGTAACTTGAATTCTCATTGAGGCATGAATTGAATCGAAATGTATTCAGCAATCATGTGGATGCTCGTAAGTTATCCCATACTGTAGAAAGATTAGTTGTATATAACTTAGTAAATGGAGAGAAGTTGAATGCTTAGACCAATGAGTCACGACTTCAATATTCAGGTTGGGAATAACAATAACTGAGTTTAACCCCGTTATTTGAATAGTTTCAAAGCATCAAACGGATGTGAATCGTATGTTTGTATGTAACACATAAACTCTTTCACCATCTTAACTTTAGTAAAATCCATTATTACCAAACAAAACGTAAGTATACACAATGCTTCCTTTAAGAACCATCACAAGCCAATAACATTCAAAACAAACAAACGTCAAGATGAGAACAATCACCTAATGATTACACAGAAGTATTTATCGTACATAGAAAGGAAGCTAAACCCTGACCGCAATTGGTTTTGATTCTCAGCCATATCTGAAAACATCTCAAGCCATTTACTTGCGTGATCTCTTGGACCTCACTCAGAGAGTCGTGATGCACCAATAGATTTCTACCCAATACAACTATTCTTCATCCCATGTTGCCACACCATACACTAACCACCCGTTCACTTCTTCCATCCAATCCGAGGGCTACCAAACAATGAAGGGTATGGAAGCCGCTGGGACGACATCCGTAACATATGTCCAAGCCAACGAAGTTGGTGTTTTCAGATGGCTTCATATATTGAATGACGATCTGCATCATGACCAAACACGCACTGTCATACGTCAGAATTACTTACATGCTGTTGCCACTGCATACGGGGAGTCCTAGGGAGACAACGATGACGGAACACATAGAATCTTAGAACATCTTCAGCTCGGAGTGGCCAAGTTTCACTAAGGTAAAGCAGAACTGCTTAAACTGAGGCGTTGTAAATCCCACCTTTTACGGCACAAAAAGTGGCCGAGATTAAAGTACGCCTCTTTGGCTTTCGATGTGCAAATAGAAATTTCATCACTCACACAACTGCTCAGATACACGAACTTTTCAACTACTTCCAACGGTTCACCACGAAAGATGAGTACAGGCAAAGGCTTTTCACAATCAATTTTCCAAAAGTACTTTGCACTTCATTCGTGCAATGCATATGGTGGTCAGTAAACACAAACTACGTATAAAGTCTGATAATAGTGATCTAAGGGTTTAAATCCCATATAAGAACGAACTAGTTACCCATCAACGTTTTCCACTATTCAAGTAACAAGAAATACCTGTCTATAATAAAGAATAAGCACAAACGTAACTTTCCAACTAGAAGAAGAAAACATTTCAATGTAATCATTACAAGTGCAGCTAGGGTGACATTACCTTGAAGAGTTTTAGATAAATTCGGTCTCAGTGTATCAGCTAATTCTGGAAGATCAATAAATAATGAACGATGTTCACCTTTACAGATTGTTGTTATACTAGGTGATTGCATTTGACTAAAAATAACAAAATAACAAAAGCAAAGAAATAATAATTCACTAATGAGAATACTGATTATAGAAAGTGTATTAATTGAAAGTATGAATCGATTCAGTTACATGAACAATAGCTGTGATTCAAGTCAACACACCAGTGATATAATCTTAGAAGTGTTGTAAAATGCATAGTGTAGCCTTTAGAATGGTTAATCTAAAGCGAAAAAGTGACATATACAGAGAAGGATAGGAAGAGGTTGAAATATACACTGATCAGTATTGAAAATATAGAGATGGAAAAGTTATGCGGCTGAAATTCTTAAGACACCTATGGCGCATATCTATCCTCAGACTAATTGAGTGTGATACAGTGACTAAAGTATATATTTTAGTTGTAGAAAGTCTCAATACAACTAAAAACAAGTCACTGAATCGTTTTCTAAATCAATTTCACTAATAGGATAGAAAAATATTTGAGTGAAAATCTAAAGGAGTCATTTTATCACCCGAGTCATTTATGCACGTATAACCCCAATTACAGTTATTTTCATCTGAATACTGAAGTAAAACTGCAGGTCAGTGGATATAACACCATCCATTCACCCAAATCAACATATGACCAGGCATTATACTGCGTAACGGTCCCACTTGCCACACCTCATATCACCACATCAAGTAAAAAGGCAGTGAACCGCAAGATGAAGTACTAAAACAGAAGAAGGAAGAATGAGAAAGTGGTGTGATTCAGTATAGCGGCCTTAAGATGAGAATATGAAAAGGCCACATACCAAGTGATCCACAATGGGAAGCTCAGTGATGCCTTTGAAATGAAGACAGAAGTAAGAAAAGACTATCTACTATCACCCATGATATTCCTGATTGTGCTCGACAGCATCAAGCAGCAAATCGTGAACAGCAAAAAGATGATCACATGCTGGACCGATGAAAATAGTCTCGAAGATTTGGATTTCACCGATCACTTGTGTCTAATGTCACACATACACGAAGATCTACAGGCAAAATACAACAAGTTGACAGAACAGGCAGAACAGCGAAACGGGACTTCAAGTGAACGCAAAGAAGACACAGGTGATGAAGATACCCAACCAACACCACAATCACCACCAACAACAACAACAACAACAAGCTCCAATCACCATCTACGAAAGAAACTTAAACGAAGTAATCTCTTTCACCTACCTACCTACCTACCTACCTACCTACCTACCTACCTAACCAGGCAACGCAGCATCCTTCCAACTACAGGCAGCACACGCACACACAACGGCGTCAAAACCACCAAGCATCGCAAAAACAGCAAGACAGGCCTTCCTTCACTAATCGGAAATCACTACGGAGATCTTCTGCACTGCATACACTCAGCAGAAAGCGTGAACAACATTCGGATCCCGATTTTCAACACCTACATCACTTAAGTCACTGCTCCTAGATGGTTCACAAACATGGCGCGTCACCGAAACCACTTCCAACAAACTACACACATTCATCAACAACTGCCACCTACGCTGGCTCGATACTGAACATCAGATGGATGGTGAGAAAGAATAAGCAACAAGGAACTCACGCTGGCCTGGCAACGAACCAACCAACAACCTATCACCCAACAAATATGCAGAAGAAAGTGGAGATGGATGGATTGGGCATGCACTGAGAAAACCATTCGGAGACATCAAGCGCCAGGCTAGGTCATCGAGTGGAACCCAGTTGGGAAACGGCGAGTTGGGCGTCCTAGCTGAGGCTGCCATTGAGGAAGAAATGAAAGCTTGTAGGCAGTCGTGGAGGCGGGTTGAAAAGATTTAAGAGAACAGAGTGGAATGGAGACGTGCTACTAAAGCCCTATGTTCCACTAGGAACCCAAGGGACAAATAATAAATAAGAACGAATCGAAATAGAAGCAGAAGAGGAAATGAAATACATTGTGCAAATAAACTTATTTTAGTGGAAGATGTTATAATATTTCTTCAATATTCTTTGCCATTTCTTACAATATGACCATAGAATTATCTTAGCCAATAGCTAAGAGTATTTTATTGAACACATCTACTCATCATCACTATATTAACATCTATAGTTTTAATCATAGAAATTGAAAAATATAGATAAATAAACAAAATTTCTTTCAAATAATAAACACCAAATAATACTCAAATGACAACGTACAATTCAGGATTGATCTTCAAAAATTCTATAACATCTCTCAATGTTGATTTTGTTTGAAATGTAAGATTTCGTGGAAAATTATTACATGCAAGACAATCAGACTAGAAAAGAAATATTAAGGAAAAATTATCTTAAAATAATATATTATTCTAATTAGAAAAACTAAACTAGATGAAAACACTGGTACTGTAAATATTTTATCTTGTTTCTTAAGTTAATTCAACACAAATATTCGTTTCAAGTGTATTCTCATAATGTACACATAAAATTGAATCGATAGTCAAAAATTACAAGTGATACATGTTGAAAGGTCCCCCTCCCCTGCCCCGCATAAAACATTGTTATTCACCTGAGCATTTTTACAGCATGTGATTAATATCTTACTTCCTACTCTCATTTTCAAGGTAATTTGTTGATTGGTTAATACTTACTCAATTTGTGGACAACGTTATATGTCATGTTAATGCTATACTCAAGTGTTTTGGAATTAATTGATTGAGATAGTCAGAGGAATGAACTACTCCTATTCAGCTTTGTTTTTCTTCTCTATTCATCCCAGGTTGCAGTCGGTGGCTCTTACGTAAGAAGTTAGCTATCAGTTAACCATGAGTATACATCCGCTTAGAAAATACATAACAGTACATGAATAAATATCTGGTTATACTCTATTACTTGTCGAATAAATACCATGATAACTTGTTGTGGATTTGGTTTCTGTGCCAAGAGTGCAGATCTAACAACAAAAAGATCGTGAGTTGAAACCCCGAGGTCTGGACAGGTAGACAATATAAACAGCCCTCAGACAATGGATTTGACTCATTGACAAATCCACGAATGTGTACAAGGTTGCTGTGTACATTTCGACTCAATTCTAACGAGAAATATTGAAGTAATCAGACGATGAGTAACACGAAATAGCAGGGAAGAAAGATCCGACTGATAGGATATAAGTAACAACAATGAGTGATAGATAATATAACAAGCATTCATGCTGGGACTTGACATTTCTGATTCAAACTCTATCCTCTAGTCGCTTAAGTCTATCGACAGGATACTTAATGAAAATAAAAAGTGAAAAAATTTCACGAAATACTATTTGAACCCTGTAACAAATAGTATTTGATGTCAAGTGGTAATTAAGCGAACCTTGTGATCGACTAAACTTCATCAAGCTTACTAGCCGGTCCTAAGCCTGGATAAACAGAGAAGGTTGGGCATAGGGACTAGCAACCCTACCCCGGAAAACCAATCCAATCGCTTAACAAACTTCAAAGCACAAAGAAATTATAAAAAATAAACTTATTCCTTACTGGAATCAGAGTGAAAGCCTTCGGGAAGCCAGTTGGCCGATTTATCTTCTCTCTCTCTCTCTCGATGAAATCAAAAGTAAGGATGGGGATATGGAATGTCCGCACCATGTATGAACCTAGCAAGGCTGCCCAGATTGCAAACGAGATGAGAAGGTATAGCATAGAAGTGCTAGTAATTTACGAAAGCAGGTGGAATGGAAGCGGACTCTCCACACTGTCAACTGGAGAGTCAATAATCTACTCCAATGTTGTCACCCAGACGACAACCACGAACACACTGAGTTTTAAAGTGCCTATCATGATGTCCCCTTGAAGAGCATCGAAGGCTCTCATGCAGTGGGAACCAATCTCCTCCTGCAGGATCATGACAGAAATATTCAAATTAAAAAGAAAGTAAGTCACACTCATACAATGCTACGCTGCGCACCCACAAATAATGCAGTTCATGAGAAGCAGGAGTTTTATCGACAACTTCAATCAACACTGGACAAGACCTCAGTTGGCGACATCAAAATTCCAATAAGTGACATGAATGCCAAACTCGCAGCAGACAACATAGGAAGAGAACCAATCATGGATCGAAAGGTAGTTGGTGGAATAAATGAGAATAGAAAACTGTTTGCAGACTTCTACGCCTTTAGTGATTCGGTGATTGGATGCACTGTGTACAAACACAAGGATATATACAAAACGACAAGGATTTCGCCAGACACCAGGACACACTGAAAATCAGATCGACTTCATCTCAATGTGAAGAAAGTGGAGACGCAGTCTACTGGACACAAGATCAAGAAGGGGAGCAGGTGTACGTTCAGACCACTCACTATCTAGTGCAAGGAACCTTCAAAATCAAGTTGAAAGCCTTGAAAAACGTTGGTGATAGGCCACAGTTCAAGTCTAACAACCGGAACCGAAACTCATGGACGAAACTACAAAGGACATGTTCACGTCAGTCATCAAGAAAAAATGGGAAATATTAAGCAGCACCCATAAAGAAATCTGCGTGGAAGAACACTGGAACTCGAAACAGACGTGGAAGAAAACCTGTATAACTGTGTTAGGAAGGAAGAATAAGAAGCAAGACAGACAATGGATCCCCACGGACATGTAAGCTGACAGGGCAGGGAGAGGAAGACGGTGAAGCTGAAGATGAACAAGTACAGAGCAGGGATGAACAACGAAAAGAGGAACTGAATACAGAGCAGAAAAGAGCATAGAATGCCAGTCAACTCTTCACCTCAACTTCATCGATTTTGAAAAGGTCTTCGACAGAGTCTATCAGGAAGTAATTTAGCAACTACTTCAACACCACGGTTTTAATACTACAAAACTTTATCAACCTCATTCAACAGTTGTATGCTATGCGATACAAGCCACGTGAAGTGAAGTGAAGATACGAGTAAGATAAGACAAGGTTGTCATCTACTACCACCGATCACCTTCCTGATTGTGATCGACTCAACTGGACTGGACTAGACTAGACTGGACCGAACCATCCAACAAACTGTCAGGAGCGAGATGATGGGCATTCGCTGGCTGGACCGATGGAAAGACCCTGGAGGAAGATTTCGATTTCGCCAATGATCATTCATATCTAGTGTCGTCTTATGTCACACAAACTCGAAGATCTACAGGCGAAAACTAACAAGTTGTCAGAATAGGTGAGGTGATGCAGTGAAGGGAGACGGGATTTCGTTCAGGTGAAGGTAGAGAAGACAGAGCTGGTGAAGATATCCAACCAACAGCAGCAGCAACAACAACAACAATAAGCACCAATCATCATCAACAAGAGAAATCTAAAGGAAGCTGTCTCTTTCACCTACATACCTACCTACCTGCCTGCCTGCCTGCCTGCCTGCCTGCCTGCCTGCCTGCCTGCCTGCCTGCCTGCCTGCCTGCCTGCCTGCCTGCCTGCCTGCCTGCCTGCCTGCCTGCCTGCCTGCCTGCCTGCCTGCCTGCCTGCCTGCCTGCCTGCCTGCTTAGACACCATCCTCTCAACTACACGTGGCACAGGCACACATGAACATATCAAAGCCAGTCAGCATCCGAAACACAGCAAGACAACACTGGCCTTCATTCATCAATATGAGATCAATGTGGAAATCTACTACACTCAGCATAAAGTATGAACAACATCCACATTATCAACACTAATGTCAGTCAAGTAAGTCAGTACTTCTATGTGATGGCTGAGAGACTTGGCACCTTACAAAAAGCATTTACAACAAACAACTACACACACACACACCACATCACATCAACAGATGCCGTCTACGCTCACTCAACATTGAAGATGGAGATCAGATGGATGGCCAGAATAATTAGAATAAACAACAAGGAACTCACTGGCAACAAACCAACTGACCAACAACCCATCGCCCAACAAATATGACGAAGAAGAAGAGAGTGGAGATGTATTGGATGGGATTGGACTTACACTGAGAAGATGGTTTGTGGACATCACATGCCACACCAGTCCATACCGTCGACTGGAATCCAAATGGGAAACGACGAGTTGGGCGTCCGAGGTGAGGGTCACATGGAGGAGATGGTGTGAGGAAGAAATGAAAGGTTATGGTGAGTTGTGGAACTAGGTTGTTAATGAGACTGCAGAGAAGTGGAGAGTGAAATGGCGACGTGCTATGTTCCACTAAGATCCCAAAGGACAAATAATAATAATAATGTGATCGCCCGATGCATCTTTAACTCTGACTTTGTAAGTGATGAACTCTGCATTCAATCTCTACATCTGGTATACACACTTATGAACTTGGATACACAATTTGTCTCCAGCGTCGCGAATTTGGTACATGTAGCAGAAGAAAAAGACCGACTGTTTACTAGGCTTGAATACTTGCGATACCAGTATATGTATTCAAGTTAATTAAATGTCTGCAATGAGCTATAATCCACATAAATGGCATGATTTCGAAATCCTATGTCTTACAGCAATGAATGAGACAACGATAGCAAGTTATGTAACCGAAAAGTAGTTATCTGACATTCCCATTTCGCTTCTTCCGGTCGGTTGTAGCAACAACAAGATTAAGAATCAATGTTTGCATGCTTATAATCAAGTTTCTCTAGGTTCAAATTCAAAGACAGCTATTGTGATTGATCGTTTTCCCATTCAATAAGACAAACTTCACATACACTGCATAAGTGTTATATGAATGAATCGTCTAATTAAAACGAAGTACACCCTCCCCCCCCCCCCTTAGAGTATATTACAAAATAAATTAAGTAGCAACCTATTCATTATTTTGCTCTCATAGTAATAAATTTTTGCTGGTCAAATAATACACCGATACCTAGTAAAAACCATTAGCGAATTGATGAATGTAACCATCGATATCCCATATGCGATTTGATTTATAACACACAGTAAGTGATATAGTATTCCTATTTACTTGATAAGCACGTTTCGAGCATAAATTATCACTCCTCATAATCATTCATGTCAATGTAATCACACTTCTATCAACAACCGATTTTCATAGTTATGTCACCACATCTCCTTCGTTTCTATTGGTAGTAAAATTACCCATATCGCTGTTATAGACGGGTGTTGCATCATTCCGATTACATGTATTGGTTGTTGGCTGATTCACTGAACAAAGATTCATTAATCAATCCGCCCATCTCTTCGCCTAAATATATTGGACATAAGTAGTGTTATTATCCCACCCATCATATTGTGTATGGTTGAGTGTTAATGCATACATTGCAACAGCCGAGTGTTTTTCTAGATTAGTGATCTTATTCGGGTCTGTCATTCTACATTTAGCTCAATTCCTATGTTCGGCTATTCTAACTAACCCCGACTGGCTAGTTTCACCTATGTACTTGACCTCAGAATCATTACATATAATTTGATAGGTTAGATTATTTTGCTTAATTGGTTCTATCGGATCCTTAAGCCATCAGACGAAGTTTATCTGAATACATTTCCTCTTCTACTTTATCAGCACCAAGTTAAATGTCTAATGTTAGCTGGGAGTCATTAAAACAATACAGAGAAACTAAATGATTTTTATCAAACATGTTTTCATAGTGTTAGTTGCGTATGTGATGGAATCACTCTGTTAGGCGTACGATAACAGGCATGGAAGGTGATTTAGTTAATTGAGTTGTGAACGTTTACCAATTAATTTAACCGGGACATCTGTTGCGCATGCTAAGACATTACTTAACCCTAAACATGATATGTTAACCGGAATGAGATCGGGTTGAAAGGAAGCTCAGGGTAGCCGAATCAAGACGTAGTATCAGTCTATGGAAGTCTTTCATTGTTGGTCTGAGCTGTGCATACGAATGCAGACTACCTGGTTGAAATTCTTGAGAATAAGGAAATAATCAATAGTTAAACTCTTGGTTATATCATTGGAAATTAATCACAATGGCACAGTTGCATTCACTTTTCGTCACCTTCAAAATTTTGAACATTTTGTTAACTTTCATCAATTTATTCTGTCTCTTCATACACATTTGTATCTAGCTAAATATCAACTATTCTATACACTTCCTCCTTGCATATAGCTGTGAAATGTGGCAACATTCTGCATTGATCCATCTAGTTGTCAGTGGTTATGACAAAATTCTGATGACAGGTTGTTAAAAACTAGCTTACCTAGTAAACATCAAGAAACAATGAATTCGGAAAAATAAGAATAGTTTAGGATTAAACTTTTGTGATATTAGGTCAGTGGCCAAGACAAATTTCAATGGAGAGATAATATTTAAGCCACCGATGAAAAAGTTAGGTCCAAAATACTTTCTATCACAATCTATAGGCAATAATTCCAGTGAAACTGAAACACAAACTTAGATGTAAGAAGAACAGTTACAAGGTAAGTTGTAAGTGATCATTTTATTGTCAGTTCAGGTACAAGTTTTCGGCGCGAGCAAATGACACATGACTAACTGGCTTAATTGATAATACCACATTCCCAACAGATTGACTAACCATACTAATGACTCTGAAGGACAACAATAGCAACTGGTGACTTTGAAATGATAGAGAATATATGTAGCTCAGGTGTTCTCTGAACTGAGTTCTTTACTCGTGGAGATTTCATCGTCTTTTTAGACGACATCATCAGCACTAACTTTGGCATGAAGTGAGCTGTCTATATCTCTCCGTGAGTGATTCAGTAGCTTGTTCTGACGAACTGCTTTGTGATTGGTTGTTCCCTTTGCTTGTTGTGTCACTGACTGACTGCATAGATTTTCCTATTGGCTGTTCTTCTACTTCACATTCTCACCTTTCTGTCGTTTATCCCTTTTTCTTATTGGTTGATACATTGGGTCTGGGTCTATACATCCATTGATTGGTGACAGACTGACTGATCTGAATGCCAAGTTTCATGGGATTCTCTGATATTCTTTGTGTTTCCTCTCTCCATCCAAGATTTCTACATTGTCAAAAATGAATTCATATCCATAGTTTTTATCCACGTACATAGAACGATGAGTGATGAAATGTCGTGTGTGACGTTTAATAGCCAATTAGTGTTTATGTAGACGAAGGAGAAGAGGGTGACGACTCCTTCCAATGTAGTGCTGACTTCAGCTATTGTAGCTGATGTTGTAAACGATATTCGGTTCGTCTTCTTTGGTTGTTGCATCCTTTGGTCGCCTTCTTCACCTTCGTCTACATGAACACCAACTGGCTACCAAACTTCATGACATTTCATCACTCATTTCAATGCACATGGATAACTGTCGACATGAATTCAATTTCGACAACGTAGAAATTTCGGACAAACGAAATACAAAGTATCTGAGAGAATCCCTAGAAGCTTGACATTCAAGTCAGTCAGTCAGCAACCAACAGATGTATAGACATAGACCCAATCTATTAACCAATGAAAAAAATTATAAACAGAAAGGTCAGAGGTCAAGCAGAATACCCAACAGGGAAATCTATACAATGAATGGGATAACAATCAAAGGAAACAACCAATCACAAACCACTTCATCATGGCAAGCTCACGGAGAGATATTGACAGCTCACTATTTCATACTGAAGTTAGTACTGATGATGTCGCTGTCTAGCAAGACGATGAAAGCTTCACGATCAAACAATCCAGTTCAGAGAACACAATAGTACCAAGAATCGAGTGATAATAAAGGCAATCCCAGAAAGCGTTGAAATGATCAATCAGGTTTCGGTATTTCGACTTAGAAGGTAGTTTCTCATAAAATACAGGAATGTAATTGGTTACTTCAATTGTTTTGGTTAAGATGACATTTAGGGTCAAACCAATGAGTAATGCCTTTATTAACCATATAGTAGACGTGTATAACAAACAGTAGTGACAATGCGCACCAACGTAATCGCAAAATGAACTTGATGATGATGATACAAAGAACTACGAAAACAGCAAAAGAATGTAGTGACTCCAAAAATCAAAATAAGTCAGACGTTTGAGAAAATAACAGTTACCTAATACCAAAAAATGAAGTAGTAAGTAAGTGGATAAATAAAGTGTCAGTAAATGTATTAAGTATATGAAAGAAGTAAATAAGAAAACCAAAAGAGAAGATTTTCAGCGAAAAATTGTCTAGAAGACCTTAGGAACGCGGTTTACATCTCTCCTATCACCTCTTTTAAGGGCCTTTAAATCTCCTAGTGAAAGTATAGAAACGACAATCAACAAGAAAATGATACAACCCAAATAATAATCAACTTAAAAAAAAACAACAGAATACTACATCATTGATTTATCCACTTACTTTACGTTCAACACTGAATCCATATGTGTAGACCCCATCAATATCACTGAAATTCATATAATTATTTAAATAATTATAACAGAATGTGATTAGTTTAAAGACCTATGAGAAGAAAATAGAAAAAAAAAAGAAGAAACAGTGAAGTATAGGTGACAGATTTGAACATGAACATTAAAAAATCTGAGTTATATAGACAATTAGTGAACCTGTTTGCTTATTGGTTTTACATAGTTGACTTCAAACAATTAGTTGATCGCAAATTCCAACCTAATGTAGTGGGCGTCGCTGATAAGAATGGATATAAGTAGTATATGTTGAGTGTGGCAGAAATCATAGGGAATTATCAGCAATGGGTAATGATTCTGCCAAGAGCAATGCAAGGGATAACGTAGGTGTATTACAGTGGATGTTGCTGATAAGAATGTATGAAGAGCAAATCAAGAGAGAAGCAGAAGAGGAAACGAAGTACATTTTGCAAATGACGGGTTTAGTGCAAGGTGTACCATATATAACGACTACCGTCCCAGTTGTCAACAATTAACATTTCTCCATCGCGATTGTCCTCTTGTGCCTTCACCACTACTGAAATCCGGCCTACCTATCATCAAGTAGTACTGTTAGTCCTTGTGAAAAACATGTTGCTCACACTGAAATGGTGGGGAATATTTGTAGCTCACGTGAATGATCTTGTATTGTATTCTCTGATCTGCGTTATTTAATAACGACAAGATGAAGATGACAGATGAAGAGAGGAACTCCAATGGGATCAGTGATATCTGGACGACTAATTGCAGAAGCAGTGGATGAACAAACTGGAAACCATCATTCTACTTATGATTAAACCAAATATTTGAATTCTCTGTATGGACGATACTCTTGTAATCATTAAAAACAGTTTGATCAACAACCTTTTCAATGACATCAAATTCACAATGAAGGAGTCGAACGACTACAGACCATTCCTGGATGTTTTAGTCTGTAGAACAAATGCCGAAAAACTGGAAACCCAAATGTACAGGAAGCCAACACACACTGATCAAATCCTCAACTACAGTACCAACAACGAATAAAATTAGTTGCTTACAAGCTCTGCTTAAAAGAGCGAAAACACACTTCACAGTACAACAACTTCACGGAGAAACGAAGAAAATTACTTGATGTCCACGAAACTTTATCAGAAAATGCCTATCCCGTGTACATTATCAACTACAAAGTCATCGACAGAAATCAACAAACGCATCACCCTACCATGCACAAAGAATATATGAGAAATCACGACAAGATTGGCACCTCATAAACCAACAAATTCCCTCCAAACACTATTATGCAAACCAAAGAAGACAAACCGAATATCATTTACAAAATCAACTGCAATAACTATAGTCAGAGGTCAATCAGGAGAACAGCCAACAGGAAAATCTATACAGTCAATGACACAATAATCAAAGGGAACAGCCAATCACAAATCAAATCGTCAGGGCAACCTACTGAGTCACTGGCGGAGAGATATTGACAGCTTACTTCATAATGAAGTTAGTGCTGACATCGTCTAGATAGACAACAGTATGTCCATGATTACAAAATCCAGCTCAGAGAACACAATACAACCAAGATGTTGCTGATTATCTACTGTATGAATATACATTTAGTTGCTGAGTGGTTTTTTGTTTACAAATCGGAGACTATAACGGTAATCCAGGGGTATACACACATATACAACAAAGTGGGATATTATACACTATTACATTCGTTTAAAATGCTAAACTGTAACAACAGAAGAAATATGTCCCACAGAAATTTTGAGAAACGGAGCTCTTAAATCCACTTTTATACTGGATAGTAATTAGAATTTGCCTTTCCATTAGAAACTCTTTGATACTTTTACATGATCATAAAGTGTAGCAGAGAAATCCTATTCCTTGTATTTAAGTAGTGAAAACGAGTAACCATACAAGTTTTAGGATTTTAAAGGAATAAACAGCACATGATCATATTGTAATAAAGCATGGGAATGCAAATTATTCAATGCCTTGTGGATTAAACATTAGAGTCAAAGGATCACGTGAAAGTAATCTAATCTGAGCGCCTAGAAAGTATCTTGTCTTTCAGGCACTTTGTAATAAGAATCCCTAAATAACTCCTATCATCTATTAACTTAACGGCTGTATACTTTTTCCAAATACAAAACTGCACTATTGCTCAAGTGTTGATTGTGTAACTCACAGTCTATAATACAAAACCAGCAGTGGTCAAAAATTTGAACGTTCCTTCCTTCAACATTTTATAGTCATATTTCACAGCTGAATAGAGTAGGAGAGTGCAAACTGGTTACTCAACATTTTACTACACGATTGATTATTTCATCGGTGATATAGATAATGCTTAGGATATGACAAAGTGTTTAACTAAAAGGTAAAACAATTGGCTGTATTCTACTTCACAAGGAAAAATGATTTTTGTGCAGAAAATCCTTTAATTACATAATATCAGCTTTTTAAATATTTTTTGTGTATAGAAAATGGATATTTATAATGGTACTGTAGTAGAATTGCAGAGATACAAGGAGATACAAATAATGAGTCCCAGATTTGAAACCCACCACCCCCTATCTAATTCGATCCCGTGACCAAGTCATATCATAAGTTGTCATATAACAACTGTTGCTGGTAACCTGTGCCATGTTGAGCTGTATTAATTAACAAATCTTGAGTTCTTTTAATGAAATTATCAATGAGATTTTCAACCAATAAAGTGATATGAGTAGATGAGGTCGAGTATAGTGAACTGTAGTCCGTTCTATCATGTTGTACGGCTATGAAATATACCCGTCAAAAGTAGAAGACATGAAGCGGTTACAGGGTTTTGATAACAAGTGTTTTTGTAGCATTACTCGAGTATATTGAGACCACCGTATGAGGAATGTTGAGGTCAAACGAGACAAGCAACTTGACTGATCTGGCATGTGCCAATCCACTGTCTACTTTGATATGCCATGCTAGGAAGAAATTGGGTTAGATAAGATGTTTCAGGGTAGCCAGACCACGACATAATACCAAACTGTTAATCTCAGGCATGTAGGGAGATGTAGAGTGCCAGACTCGGGTCCCCGGGAAGATAGGAATCAGTGATTGAGAACTCTTGGTGACATGGCTGAAAATTGGTTACAGTGGTGCAGATGTATTCACTCCTTGACATCTTCCAAAGCTTGAATATTTGCACTAACCTCTATCTTCAGATTCTTTATTGTCTCACACTACTTTGTCTACCTTGATGTCACTCCTTATCTCTCTACCTGTTTCTTGTATACTTCTGTGAAGTATGGCAACTTGAGTTGATTCACTTGTGTGCGAGGTTCTACATCCATTCCGTCTGTCTCATGATTTAAGTTGGTAGATAGCCTAATTCAAACAGGCTGCTTTTAATGCACTAGCTTGATGCTCTACCGACTGGGTTAAGGGACTTAGCTGTTCGGTAAATTGTAATCCCACGACAACCACAGGATGCTTCACCTAGCTTTTACATGAACGAAATGGATAATTTTAGTATAATTGCTTGTATTTTACCATCGTTGATTTGACAGAATTGATCAGTGTCTACTGGCATATGGGCTTCTGTGTGGATACCTCGATATTACCTGTGTTCTAATAACCAAAGTAAAGATGGATAGTGGCTAGCAGTGGAATCCAGGATGCGCATTTCACCCTATTTGGGATTCACTGGTCAGCTATATGTAGGTGCCTGCCTCCCAGTGAGTGAGAGACCGATCAATTCGGTTCAATCAACAGTGGTATTATACAAGCCAATTATACTGAAATTATACCCACCACACACCAAGTGGCTATCGTGGTTCGGTAGGGTGGTGGATAACGCTGTGGCGTTTGAAGTGGTCACTCCCGAGTCCGAATCCCGATGAGGACAACATCACTCACCGGTAGGCAGGTACATCCAGCTGACCAGTGAATCCGAAGTAGAACGAAATGCCCATCCTGGATTCCACTGCTAGTTACTATCCATCTTTACTATGAAACGGATAACTGTTTCTTACTCATTAAGCCCAGATTTTAAACCTACTCACACTGAGTTCACTGAGTGCTATTGATAATGATGATATGATTAATAGATGTGTGTATAGTATCAATTCAAGTAGAATTACATCACTTGTGATAACCGTTGGCAAAACTATACTCGAACGATCTAAATGAAGCTGTAAATCTTATGTCTAAATTCCCCGATACACAAAGCAGTAGAAGTGTGAATAGCATTAAAAGGAATGAAGTTAGTTGACTGTGAATAACGCTAACCTCAGTTGCACATACAGCAGCAATGACAGCATTTGTAGAAGCAACAGCAGGAATGATTCGTTTTATAACACCTTGTACAAGACGTAGAGTAACACCGGATATACCAAAATGTTTAGCTCTTTCACATGATTTTTCATATATCCATTGTATATGTTCAGGTGAATCACCATCGATTACAACATCATCTATAGAAAGGAATAGTGGAAAGTATGCATAACATTCTATTGAAATAAAATAATATATAATCATCTATATACCAGTAGAAAGTGATTGTTTACAATAGAATATATATTGAAGAATGACTCTACACTGTTCCAAGTATTTTAAGGATAATATCGATAACTAAGATCATACTGAACAGGATATCGTCTGTAATAACCATCTGACATAATAAGACCAATAGACTGAATGATAAAACGAGACTGAACAACACTAGAACCTTCCATTATTACACTGAAGAATCTTTAGGTATCATCTCTTATCATTATTTGGGGATAGACGCAACAGGAATGGAAGCCTGAAGCCTAAAAACCATTGCGTTAGAAATATAAAACATATTACTATTCACTTGAACACGCTTTAAGCATAGATTAAGAGAAAAAGTAACTGAAACAAAAATACAAATCGACAGTGAACAATAAATGGAGTTGAAAGCCAATGAAATCGCTAAAACAAGGCGAGTAAGGAAGTCAACAGTCACATTAATACATTACAGAAACAATCAGGTTGATAAGTAGGATAATTTGAAGTATGAGAATTCACAAACTCTTACTTCTATGCACTATCCCATAACATTATCTTGTAAAACTATTAACTGAATTAGTTCACCTGATTACCTAGTTGAAATCATCAAACCTCTTTATCGCTTCTACCGTATGACAACCATATTTTAGTCACAGAGAGCAAATTATATAACCTTTTAGGCTAGAATGTTTAGAATAATTCACAACACATGTACCTATGTTACGATATGAAGTTGTGCGATCGAATGATGATACTAACCAATTAATAATCAACGGTTGAAACGATTCAACTCGAATGATTTGCAAAGAGAAACTAAAAGACTGGGAATCAACTGAGATCATAGTAACTCGGAATGAAAACTTTCATGAGTAAAAACGGATCCTATTTATAGAGGAATAATTAGTACATTTAAAGAGGCAGGAGTCAATCAAAACGATGGCGAGTCATACGAAATATGACCCATCGCGGGAAAAAGAGCGTGAAGTAAAACGGTTCAAATATACCCCCCAAACTGTAAGTATACAATTTAAGGGATATAGGCATCCCTAACAAGTTGTTTCACTAAGCCCTCCTTAAAATCTGGAGGTTGGTTTGCATTTTTGCAAAATAAGGTCAAAGCAAACAGACAAAATCAACGTAGAATTTTGCATATAACTGCACCGGTTCAAGTTACCACACTTTATAGTACAAAAAAAATAACAAGTGGATCGATAAAGTGATATCAAAGTAGACAGAGGTGTTTAGGGGAAAAAGAACTTTAGAAATGAAAGTTAATCAAAGTATTCAATCATCTATCCAAATCAACATAGGACCAGGCATTATACTGCGTAACGGTCCCACTTGCCACACCTCATATCACCACATCAAGTAAAAAGGCAGTGAACTGCAAGATGAAGAAAACACAATCCAGTCAAAAGAAATATAAAGTACGAAGAGAGAGAAAAGAAGAATGAGAAAATGGTGAAATTCGGTACAGCGTCGTCAAGATGAGGATAATATGTGTATGCGTGGGGATACATCTGTGCCACTGACATCGGTTCTAAGCCATATCACCTAAAGTTTCCAACTACTGGTTCCTCTTGTCCCGCACACCCCAACCACCCAAGTCTGCATCACCCCACACGGCTAAAACCGACAGTCAAACATCTCATACATTCATGCCACGTTTTCGTCTGACCGAGAACCAAGAGCCTTTTTCCAATCTGAAACTGCTTCGACCACCATTGTGTGACAGCGCCTACCTAACCTAACACATGTCCCAACCAACCATCTCAGTCCATGAAGGTTCACAACCACACCAACTGACTTACCTCTTCTCCCTAAAACTCTACACCCGACTTCCACGTTACTCACTCACGTGGTGACACCACAGGGTACGGCCTATACTACGAAGGCAACAGTGGTCAAACACCTGAAGTCTTCTCATGCCTTCCACCTTCAATGGTCATATTTTACAGCCATACAGTAGAACAGAGTGGACTGCTATGCATGTGAAGTATACACGACCCTTAATAGACAATAGGATATCACCTCAAAGTATCCAAGCTTTACAAGATGTCAAAGAGTGAATACATGTGCTATTATGTTCAGTTTTCAGCCATCTCACTAAAACTCTTCAACCACGCATTCCTATCGTCTTTAGGACTCCAGACAAGATAGTCTACACTTCTCTACGCAGTTCAGATTAACGGTCAAAGACTTCATGCATAGGTGGCCACAAATATAGTAAGAATAGAACAAGAAAAATTCCATTCAAGAACAAGCTTGTTGGATGAAAATAAATGTAACTCATCTCATACAAGATTCGATTTCCTAGGAAGCCAAAGAATTGACCTTCCAGTATTTTCAATAGTCATCACCTACGCTAAGAAAATAGGAAAAAGGTGGGCGCTTGCATGCTAGAGAGACTGAGACTAACAAGCAATACTTTCACTAACGTAAGAGTAAAACTTGGGCACTGTCAATACACTGCTTCTTAACAACTACCCTCCACAATCTACCAAAAGGTTTATAAAAACTGATATGAGGAGGAGTAGTAATGGTAGTGGGGACTGAAACCAGCCGCCTAAGAGGAAATTCAAATCCTCTGTAGTATTGCCGAATAAAGAAGGAAGATCGAAAATGTTACGTAGGATTCTTAACAATACCAGGGTTAGGGTGGCATTTGAACCCGCAAACTCATTCAAAAATCCAGCAGAGCCAATTTAAAAAGATAACCTGATCTATCAGATACCATGTAATGTGATCGTGAAGTCAAGTATGTGGGTCAAAGCGGCCGATCAGTTTCAGTTAGAATAGCAGAGCACAAACATTTACCGAAACACACAATGGTAGACCGTACTAAGATAAATGATTTAGAGAAAAACTCAACGCACTGACCCATAATCACAGAGTATAGAGTGGGATAGGGTTACAATTCTAAAATCCAATGTAACTAGGTGGATGGAGAGATTGACCGTAGAATCTTCGTTCATTGAATCAACCAGCACGTAGCACATGCAAACAGGAATGACTCATCACATATTGGAGATATTTGGAAAATCTAACCCTAAACAGCAGCAAACGCATGATTATAACCTTACTGTATGTCTTTCTGTTTGTCTGATTTACCTCACTGAAGTATAACCTATAATTATTTACCCGGCATTTCCACCGGATATTAGCTAGGTACGCAGATACTGATAATCAGCCACAATAGTTTGTGCAACGGTACAAGTTTATGCACTAGACTACTAGTCACAATTAATATGTGAGAAGATATGACATCAACTAGCCGCTCAAATAGTTGCAACAGAGTTTGAACATGAAACTCAATTACTATTTATTAATACTTTTAATTTCCCATTGTTATTCTGGGTCGAATTACTCAACCTTTGTTGGCATTTGAAGCGACGGCTACTGTGTTAGCGTCTCAGTGGGGAGGAACAAAATCATTCACTGGCATGCAGGTAGGTATACCCAACTGATGAATCGTAAATAGGGTGAAACGTCCATCTTAGATTCACACTGCTGCCACCAAATAGATTACAATGGAACTCAGGTGTTTAGTCGAAGAAAAAGGGTGGTATTATAGCTTTTAAAGGATATAACCCTTCATCTCTAAGTAAATAAGTCAAGTTGCTTTTAGTTTAAATGTGTTTATACGGTGGATAAGAAAACAACTAAGAAATCATTGCAATCTCCTTCTGAAATAGATAAAATTCTATCTAAGTTTAGGAAGAAATTGGTTCAACAAACTAACTGATTCATAGCATCTGCCAAATACTAAATCATACTAATACAATAAAACGTATACCAGATCTCTGTGCTATTTAACAGAGAAAGTTGACAACTAATAACAACAAAGTTTGTAGTTGATAAACTGTTATTGCTAAATCATTATGCTCAAAAGAACCACATGAATTTAATCAGTTCTTCAAAGTTTTAACGTTAAACGTAAGTTTATCAACTGTGAACATTTATGCGCATCCTACCCGTCTCCACTAACTCTTCTGAAAAACTAGTTCACTTTAGACTTTAGTATGCATAGATAATAAGTTCTGTTTTTCGCCAAGTTCTCAAGGATAATCGACAGTAAAGGAGGGAAAAACCAAAACAAGCATCTTAAACATTTACACACTAACCATTAGTTAAACATACTGAACACATTTAGGTGACAATAATTAGCTATTCAAATCTTTGAAGAGGAAATGAGGTTTCAACCTGTAAGCTAATCTCACTTCAAAAACAAGATCCAAATAATATTCCAGAAAATAACCTCTGAAACTGTTAAAACCAATGACTTGATATTTCTAACCGCAAAAATAAGAGTCAGTATACCATGTAGACACACGAAATTAATAAGAGTATTGTAAGGCTCTTACTTACCTCCGAAAGGACTCTCTTTTGACCATAACAATACTCTCACATATTCTATGCAATGCTCTGGAAGTCGGGGAGTATGAGCTATAGTACATAAAGGGAAATTGACTGGAGGAGGGTACAGATCAAGTGTACACTCTAGGCATCCAGTTAAACCATACAAAACAACGAGAACATGTCCTTTGAATCCTTCTGTCCCACCGTCTACAAGTGGTATCACCGTGTTTGGATCTGGTTGACCATTGGCATCATAACGCACTAAACCTGCCTACAACCACAGACACAATTAAAAAACAAAAGAGATCCAAACACGTTATAAGCATCAGACAACTTAAATATCTACTTTAATATCAACTAAACAGTAGGAATAGACTACCACTTCATGTGAAGCGAAAGATCAATCAAGAAAGAGTTAGTCAGCCGAAGAAATGTTCCCGTTTTTACTCTATAACTAATGAGAATACAAAACGCAGAGGTTGAGAAATGGATAATACAACGTTTTGTATGGTGACGAGAACAGTTCTAGCTCCCAAAACGCTATATAAAATCCATACAGAGACAGATAAACTAATTTATTACCTTTCAAAGAAGTACAACAACTCACGTTAACACTACTCAGTGCAAAAGAGAGAGAGTGCTGAATAGGCAAAGAATCAAGCCAAAATGGGAAAAGCATATGACAGGAGAGAGAATAAATAAGTAAATAAAGTTTTGGAAACTTGACCACGTTTTTGGAGATAGTAATAGTTAAACATATCTGTTCCACTACGACTGTTTTTGAGCTATGACTAACGGTGTTCAACCGTTGGTTTTCAATATTTCAAGGATACCACCCAAGCTAAGGTCAACAGTCAGGGACTTCATGGGCTGATGCCACCTCTAGGCTTAACTATCTTCAGCTTTCCGTCTCGCTAATTTCATCCAATCTAACATGATGTTGCGATATAGGCGGTGACTCAACATTCTCAACACACGTCCAAACTACTTATGTAAGTAAGGGCTCATTAAGTTATCAACCAACTTGCCTTGCCTATCTAATAATTTATGCGTAGCCTCGAAATTGTTCCCTGTTTGTTTCCACCATACACCAGAAAAGGTTCGGAGACAACAATAATCAAAACCTGTGACCTTCTAACGTCTTATTTCAATGGCTATAACTTAGCACCTGATAATGAAACAGAGAACTATTATACACTAAAGCTATCATGGTCAGATAGCTCGCTGAAGTCGCAGATGATGTAAGTTGGTGAACACCAAACGGACTTTCTGTACGCGATCCGGTGATTCGTCACTAGACCAGCTCATGTAACTTCCATAGAAAATGAAGTGGTCAACGTATTATTTCATTCTATTCCCCACCCTTATACCAAGAGTCGGTGAACACAGATTCTGCAGTACCATCTCGAGTATTCTTTCTTACTCTTGCTACGAGTATTCAGCAGACCATTTTTTATCAGAGTTCTCACTTAGAAGGAATAAATCAACCAGGTACCCTTGTGGCAGCAAATAAATCTATAAGAGGTCAGAATTAAGGCCCCCTCTATCGGATCATTTATAACACAGTAAAATAAGAGCAGTTACAGAGTCCATTCATGACAAACTCAACGGCTTACCATCAACTCAGATAACAAATATACGTAAGCATAAACCCAACGAACTGTGAAAGAAGTACCGAACAAATGTATAACGCTGACCAAAGTTTTCTACTCAAACTCACACAGCCATCCAAGTACTAACGGAGAGTCATTATATGAAGTGAAGAAAACTACGTGTCCACTAGAGAAGTTCCCTGTCACCCCTTTTTATTTTTGTCAAAGACGAACTAACAGGTATAATCCTAGTTACCTCCAAGTTCATAAGGATTACCTAACGTTTTAGGGGGCACCTGGTTGACTTGAAGTGCACAACGCGCTTAGCCAACATTTTTTTAGGGTTAGTGAGGGAAAAATATGACACTGATGTAAGGGAAACTTGGACTTAATATGGGATTTTGCACTAACCCCTCGAACCTGTGAGAAAGATTTTCTGAACTCTTACCCGTAGCAAAAACCCTGTGAAACTGTCGAATCAAGGCTTTTCAGAAAAAGGCACTTACTAGTAAAGAATTGATCCACCGCCTGGCTACAATTGAATCCAAACCACAAACAACTGCATTAAATTGCTGATAAAACGATTCGTCAAAATCTTGGATTTTCTTGTAGTGTGGAATAACCTTGCATGTTGGAACACGACGCATGATGAACTCGGCAGCAACATCCGCCTTAGGTTTACCGACATCTTGTGGTCGGAACAAAAACTGTCTATTCAAGTTGGAAATATCAATTGTATCCATATCTATTACATCCAGATGACAAAATCCCATCATGGCCTCAAGGAAAGTATTATGAACGTAAGGACTAAACTTACAAGATTTTTCAGGAGTTCACAACCCAAGCCACCAGCACCAATGACAAGAATTTTTACATGTTCTCTAACCATGTTTAAAAGCTTAAAATCATTTGAGATAGAAAATCATACAAACTTCATCAGATGGTTCGAATTCCGATCGCTGGAATGGACCAGAGCGCTCAAGAATACATCTCAAATTTCGCCACTTTTTGTTATTGGTAATTTCTAACGACATTGTATAACGTCCAGTTGACGAATCTCCTTCGTAGGTCTGTTTATCATATGCACATCAAGAAGAAGTAGGGTGAGCTTGAAAGCGATATTTTACAGAAGTAGAAATATGGCTCATAAAAAACAAAACAAATTTTCAACCTTGTATTTAAACATGTAGCGTCTAGTCCGCGGGACAAGAAGAACCAATGGTTGGAAACTTTAGGTGATATGGTTTAGAACCGATGTCAGTGGTGCAGATGTATCCCCACGCATACACATATTATCCTCATCTTGACGACGCTGTACCGAATTTCACCATTTTCTCATTCTTCTTTTCTCTCTCTTCGTACTTTATATTTCTTTTGACTGGATCGTGTTTTCTTCATCTTGCAGTTCACTGCCTTTTTACTTGATGTGGTGATATGAGGTGTGGCAAGTGGGACCGTTACGCAGTATAATGCCTGGTCCTATGTTGAGTCCTAAGTCCTAGTGTCTACCTTTTCACTTCCAACTAGCTCGTTGAGACAGTTTTGCTCCCTCTTTATGATGAACTTAGGTGAAGTATACCCCAGCGAAAAGTGAAAAAAGTAACTCAGAAGAATTGCGCAGCAGGAAATAAGCCATAATCATTGCATGAGATCCAATAATACTATCTTGTTGCCCAGCTATCAATAGGTGAGCAGGTGTCTAAATAATTAGCCATCTGACAAGAGTTCAGTGCCTATAAGAGTAAACTGAAGATTCATCCAGCCATTCACCATACGTAACCCTGAAATGCAGAGACAGTGCTAGTGTTGGTTCTACTAAGAATAAAAACGTATAACCTTTCTTGGGACTGTAACGATAGCACGATCTTCAAGTGCTACATTACCAGGAAGTTGTTCAAACTACTCAAAATAAGTGGCAAGAACCTGTTATTATGAAGGGAATGAACTAACTAACAACATGAAAACACATGGAAGGGAAATAGCATTCAAAGTAAAGAAGATACATTGGTGACGATAGAGTATTAGTGAATCGATAGTTGTGACAGTAATATTACTAAGAAACGAGGTTCATGTTGAAAAAGGAAATGAAAAGGAAGTGTAGCATTGCCAGTCCACTCCCTAATTATAACCAGTACGCCAACTATATGAGCGAAGTCTCTATGTGCAGCATTCTCTCTCAGCAACTCAAGTTACTGCCACCAAAGTTTTCAAGGTTGGAAGCAAGAAATTAATAAGTGAAGTAACAGAGGTACTAGGTAGTATGTGTGATTCAGAGGTAGTACCTTCAGACTGGTCTACTTCTTTGATCATCTCAGTCTATAAGAAGGGACAGAGGTGTTCCAGTGACATTCATAGGGAAATCAGTTTAACCAAGATCCTGGGGTCAATAGTTATCTGACACCTAACTGGAGCTCGAGAACAGCAAGCTTGAGAACACGAGACGGGTTTCAGACCTGAAAGAGGGTGGATCGACCAGATTTTCACCCCACGACAGTTTCTGGAACACAGAAATACTTATCGTCGACCGAAAAGCGATCGAAATGCGCTCAGCAACCTTGTGCACATTCGTGTAGCAATGAGCCACAACTGCTGTGTGAGGGCTAGTGATACTACCTGGCTACCCAAACCTTGGTAGGTGGAGCAAGGCTCAACCTCGCGACCCATCTGTCCAAAGTCAACTTCCTAAGCCAATGAGCCACAGTCCCACTATTCATTGACACTTACCATATTTCTTGACCTGAAAGCGGCATTCGACTCTGTGGACCGTAGTGTTGTGGGAGTGTCTGATTGTGAAAGGAGCACCGAGCAAGTATATAAAGCTGATCAAAGCTCTTCACTCGAAATCACGCAGCCATGTAAGGGCTTATGAATACCTTTCATCGGAATTGACGACAACCCGCGGTTTCCGAGAGGGATGGCTGCTGTCATCATTCCTGTTCGACTTTGTCATAGATATAATAATGGGCATAACCTTAGGTACGTCTGACTTCATAGGGACTCCCTAGAAGTATGGTCAACTTGTAGTAAGCATCTAACGCTGCCCTACTAGGTGAAGACGCTGACAGGATCCAGAGTCTTTTGAAATTATTTAGCAGAAATTTGTCGGTTGGACATGAATTCTGCAACTGTCAAACGTAAGATGATGCTTCAGGATTGGTCCGCAACTACCGCCAACTCCAGGATAGATAGTGGTGGCAGAATGCATTGACCACTTCAATTGCTCGGTGACTTGCAGCAGCCCAAGCAGGCTAATTGCTGACGAAATCTCAGCTTGAAAACAGAATACTTGACTGGTATTTGGCAGCTTGCGTCATTTCTGGTGTCGATTGGCGAGATATCCGACCACCTATTAAAAGAAAAGCATACTCCGCTGCAGTCCATTTTTTACTGTTATATGGTTGCTAGACAGCCGTTAAAAGTAAAAGATATGAAGTGGTTAAAGGCTTTTGAAAACAGGTTCTTTTGTAGCATTTTTCGTGGATACTGGAATCACCATGTTAGCAATGTCGAAGTTGTGTGAAGAGTGCTAGGCGAAACAGGTAAGTCAGTCGATGAGGTTGTGAACTCTTAGTGACTGAGGTCGCATGTTGGGCCCCCACCAACTTCGACATGTGATGCTAGGAAGAGTTGGACTAGGTTGGGAGAGAGCTCATGGTGGCCAGATCAAGACGTGGCACCAGTCCATGAAGTCTTTAACTGTTGGTTTGAGCTGCGTAGCGAGGTGCAGACTATCTGGTTGGGGTTCTTGAAATGATAGGAATCAATGGTTGGAGAGTTTTGGTGACATGGCAGAAAATCAGTCACAACAGCGCAGAGTTATTCACTCATTGACGTCATCAAAAACTTGAATATCCCTACCCGTCATCTTTTTCAAATTTTAGCTCTCCTCCTATACACCTTTGCCTACTTTGATATCGGTCTTTTTCCATCCACTTGCTTTTGCAGGCTACGATGAAGTGTTGGAACTCAAACCGATGTACTTTGTGAGAGGTTCTATGCTGACTTTGTTTGTCTGTCTTTACATCCCTTTTGACTTCACCAGGAGAAGAAATGCAATTCAATAGCACTTTTGATTTTCTCGATCTTCTTCCTTGGATATAGCACATTCCCACTATTGTAGGAGGTACTGTTTGTCTAGTGCGTATTGAAATAGATTGCAGAACGAGTACCGCAAACGTCTACACCGTTTCAATACAAATGGTCGGATATCCTCACATCGTGCAAACGTTTTGCCATGACACTTCGATAACTTTGTTGCAAAATAACATTATTTCCCAGAAAAGCCAAAACATACCAAGTAGTGTTATTTTGCTGTTATATTAATTCACTTTGCTAGATTCATTCAATTCCATTATCTGTGCAATAAGTCGGTCCATTGACAGCTAGATTATTTAAATCCTCTTCTTGACTATTTTATCAATGCTATTTTGACTGCTATCATACATTTTTACTGTCGTTGTAGATTTCACTAGCGTCCGATAAGCTCACTAATTTCTGTAGTATTTTGTCTCTATTACTAATCATTGACAGCTTAGATAGGAAACCACTTAGTGTATTCGATTATTAGATCATTAAAAGCACAGTAGCCAGTTCACAAGAAAACTACATCTAATCTCGGTAGAGTTAAAAAATAGTGACCGAAATAAAACAGTGCAGAAACACCCTAAAAAACCAGAGCAATTTCAGTATGCTTGGTAGCAATGAGTCGTCATATACTATGACTGAGAAACATCTCCGATTTAGGCATTTCACCTCATGTGAGTGTTTTAGACAAGGTTTTGATAAAGACCCTGTATTCAAATAGTCCAAGGATATCAATCTCTGATAGGCGCACCTCCGCTCTGTATGAACTGTGACATTCACATCGTACTATTATACAAAGCCTCCATTTGGAAATTTTCAATGGTTTTAAAGGCTACTTTAAAAACTACTAAAGTAACCAACTAGGTTACTTTAGACTAAGAAGAGACCTGTTCTCTAGTCGAAAAATAAAAACGTAGTTGCCGTGGTCGCTTTTAAGACCAAATAAAAATTGTCTATTTACGCTACCGCCGACCTCACTGTTCGGTCAGTTCATCTACAATGAGATTAAATTTCGAGATCATAGGTGGACTTGCTGATTCCGGTTGCCATTCCTTACTTTAACCCTGTCTCTTTTAGGCTGGATAACGCTGCGTGCTTTTTACTTTGTCGATATATGTTGCTCACTAACGAGTTATTTAGTCCTCTAACGAAGGTGAAACATGAAGGTTAGGCAATTTTCAGGCCAGGAATTTGCTCTATTCAACAACCCATAGTAGTGCATGCTCACCAAGTGATGAGTTTCTTTTTCTTCTCCATGAATCGGTGTGCTCTTGGAATGTGCTTTAAATGACTTCTTATTTACCCGTATCTTAATGTCGCATCAATTCGTTATGGTCATAGACGTTCTGTGATTGGACATTGTTTCGAAAGCAAAACCTATCCATAATTCTTCTTCCATCCCAAGTTATCCTTTATACGCAAGATGCCTTCTTCCTGAGGTTTTAATTCAGTATGACGGCCATCAAATATCGTATTCCAGTTATACTTCACTGGTTTCTACTTATGGCTGATTTTCCCATGTGTAGTTTTGTACTGCTTTCGAAACCTTATTTTTCCACTTCCTATTTTATATTTCCTAACTCCCCTATTCTGTCGTTGTTAATAGTTACCACTCGTCAGTTGTCTTTTATGACTAAATGTAAGTGCATTGCATTAACTGAGTCGCCGGCTCACGTTTTTCGCCTTTTCTTTACCCTTCCAGATTCTTAGGCTTACTTGGTGAACTACCACTGGCAAAATCACGTGCACTTTTCCTCAACAACGTACCAGCAGACAACACAAAAAACCACCAACAGCTTGTCGTTACGGTTTTAACCCTCACTGACAACGCCTTCATATCACTTCACATATTAACACGCACTCGATCACGATAGTCTAGATGGGAACTCAGTTGGTTACGATTAAGGTGTTATTGCTGCTAATAGTACGATAAAAATGTGTGCTTTTCCTT